CATTGGTGTCCCTGGCATTGGTGTCCCTGGCATTGGTGTCCCTGGCATTGGTGTCCCTGGCATTGGTGTCCCTGGCATTGGTGTCCCTGGCATTGATGTCCTGGCAGGGGGATCAACCTCGACGCGCAGCCAATGACCCACCTCTAGCCACCATATCAAGCGCGCGCTTGGTGGCCTCGTCAAAGTCCTCCTTCGGCAGGCCTAGGATGTCGTTATGCAGCCCCCTCTTCGACTCGTAGTCGCCGTCCCCCGGGTAGAAGACGCGCGCATACAGCAACTTCATGAACCCCGTCCTGTCCCCAGCCCGCATCTCCTCCATCCCGGCGCGATACCGCTCCTTCACGTCCTCGTGCCGGACAGTCCACGCGTCCTCGGCGTCGCCCGAGACGCGCAGCACCGACTCGAACATGTCCCGCTGAGAGACCAGAAACGACGACACATACATGTGGTCGTTGCGGAACATGGACAGCGTGGGCCCTTTGTTGTCATCGCCACTGTCCTCGGGCAACACTTTCAGACTCAACAGCGCGGCGGTCGCGCGTCCGCACTGCTCCCACGTCGTCGTGTTGATGCGCGTGGTCCCCTCGTCGTACAGGGTCACCGTCTTGCCCGCAAAGTCGAAGCCAAACGTCCCCGGCGCCCCCGCGAGCGAGTACTCGTACCAGAAACTGCAACAGAAGCCGATCCAGCTGCTGACGCCCAGGCGCTCGATGCGCTGGCGCGCCCGCACGCGGCCCTCCCCGAGCAGGGTGTCCTGCTGAAGCGACTCGTTCGAGGGGTCGCTGCCGTATTCGTTGGGGAGGATCCAGGGCACCCCCGCCGCGGCGGCCGCGTCGATTAGTTTGTCCTGCGTGTCTGGTGGCGCCGTCACGGCCAGGGTGATGATGAGCACGTCTTGGCCTGTGAGCGCGTCGATCAGGGAGTTCGGGTCGTCGTAGTTGACTTTCTTGATCGTGAGCCCTGCGGGCATGGAGTTGAGGGAAGGCGAGTCCGCGCGTGTCAGGGCCGTGACGCGGTGGATGCCTGTTTGGAGGAGCGATTTGGCCATGTATTCGCCGAGGTTGCCTCCTGGAGGGGTGAACGAGCGAGGGTGTCAGTAAAGCCAAAAAGACAAACATACAAGAGACCATGTTTGGATCGGTGAGTACAGTAAGTTTGAAGGACTCGCTTACGTACCTGCCTGTTAACATCGGTCAGTAAGTGGTACATGGTAAGCTTGATGGATGACTAGAGGGAGGCTCCTCACTTACACCCACGATCGCGATCTTCTCGACGCGGTTCTTGAACCCCTCGGGCTGGTCTTTGGCGTATTGTTGAGGCATGGTGATGGTGAGGGTGGTCGACAACTACAAGGACAGTCCTGCGTAGTCAGTATTTCGGCTAGATGGAAGTTCCTTGCTATGTCGCGCTCTTCGTCCGGAGTGGAAGCTCCTGATCTCCTGTATGGCAGTCCTCTGTGCTCTGATCACAGCTTGCACTGTGGTTATATATACCCCTACTCTCCTGACAGTGCGTGCACAGCTCAAGCCTGTGGCCGGCTCATGTCTGCGGCCGGCTGATGCCTGCGGCCATAGCATCTATATCCGACCGGCCATAACTTAACTGGGGCCGGCGGAAGGCACCTGCAGCAGCATCTTAAAGCTCAGCCAAAGATTCAATACGACGGACGAAACGGCAATGGAGTTTGAGGAGGCGGCGATATCATTAGCGCACGGAACAGGTATAGCGCATCGTGGGCAATACGACTTGGAGTTAGCGCCGATCTGGACTCGGAATCTGAGATGCCGACTGATTCATGATTGGTGTCCGGCTGAATCCGGGCAATGCGCTGGGTCACGGGATGATGTCGTCCGGTCACGTGAAAGGGCACGTGAAATGCCAAGACTGAACGTCCACACTCCGGTGTCACTTCTTCTACACATGCACTACATGGCCGATGCTTGCTAGATTACAACGCGGATGTTCGCATTGACTTGCTGCTGGACAACGATGCTGTTGCCGCTCAATTCCGCCATGCCGTGTGACACCAATGTCTGAGACATCATCTTAGCTCGACGCGTGTGTATTGTTGCTGCCGTCAACAAGCTTGCTACGATCAAGTCGAGCTTGACGTGTCCGGCGGGAACAACGCAAATCAATTGCGGAGAAGGCAGGTTGAAGTCAATCATGGCGAGCACGTTGTTGCTCTCGTTGCGCACGGCCGATCTGTCTTTCACCTGTCCACTTTGATTAGCAAGCCACACCCACTCCCCTGTTTAGCTCTTCTTCTTACCAACAGGTGTCCACTCCGAGGTACGTCGTCAAGAGATGTCCAGCCTTCACAGCAGATTTCTAGCTCTGTCGACACTTTGTTCCTCCATACTGTATAGCTTCCGGTCTGGCTATCCCACCACAGTTCATAGCTGTCAGCCGGACCATTGGTCCCGGCTCTGCGTTGTTCAATCCGGAGTCGAGAAATCATCACCTGTCCCTGTGCCAGCAACTTCAGCCGGGGTGTGATGTCCGATATCACCACTGTCCGCCAAACGTCCGTGCCGGGCCATCGGCGCGTGATGGTCAGCTTGTTGTATTCGTCCACGCTGGTTGAGCCCAGAGAGGCTCTCAACGCATAGAACGGCCTGCTTGAGTTCGCTCCCAGTGCCAGTCGCTCTTCGATTGGGAAGATGTGCGTCTGCGTCGTTCGGAATAGGTGAAGCACAAGCCTCGGGGCAGAGGGTCTGATCTGTGGGCTGGTTCCTGCAGCTATCGCCGCAAAATACTGGAGATCGTGTTCTGACGTGGGAGCTACTTGTTTTGTTGGGATCCCAGGTTCTTCAGTCGTGGCTTCGTCGTATGTCGGTGGTGCATCGCTGTCATTGCTCTGGTCTGCTGGTATCACCACCGCTGCTTGGTTGGTTGTCTTCGGTTGAGGTGCAACGAATTGTGTTGCGGAGCTTGCCAGGTGCGCTGATGCCGGCTTTTTGGACCTAGATGATGTGCCGATAGGCATGTTGATGTTTCCCTGACGTGGGCAGATTTTTGATTAGCAGAAGCAACGAAGTACGATACGTGCGGTGAACCGTCAGGACCCTCTCAGCCGCGAGCAGAGACCCATTTCCTGGGTCATCACAAACTACAGACATTCTGGCCGGAGCGATGGCTGCTCAGCCTTGTCTGTTCAAGGGCCCTAGGACAATCTCCACTTTCGCAACGAGCCTTGGCACATTCCCCTGTGGCGTCGAATAGTGTGCCGACCCCAGCTCGCTCTATCTTGTCACCAGAGGTTGACTACAGGTGCTTTTATCGAATCGCGACCTGGAACAGAGCGGCATTCTAACTTCGCCATCTTGATCGCTTACCAAAAGTCCGTTCAGGGGTCTTGCATGGTCTTCTAATTGGCCGAGAAACGGTATCTCGACAGTCCCCTTTATAGCCGAGACCTCGAAGGCCACGACGAAAGCTACTACGAGAAACGCCATCTCGTATTCTTTTTCAAACTCCTGATCGTCAGCCTCACCGGTTTCGAAAATGGCAACAACGCGCCCACGTGCCAGTGCCAAGGTATCGCAATCACTCGACCAGAGGGGTAGGAGCGGATCGGGAGAATATGTGAGGGCTTTGCTTGTGTTTTGGAACTGCGCATTCTCTCTAGGACCGCATTGCACCTCAGCTACGAACCGCATAGAAACATGCAGTCGCGCGAGAAAATTCTGCTGGAAGCCAGCGGCAAGCCTGGTAACCATGGCTTCCAATACTATGGCGAGCGTGATGGTGTCGGTGAGTCATATGTTTTCACGTCTCATCACAGCTGCTAACTGCAATAGCTCCTGCGGGGAGACCTGGTGCTAATGGACGGTCTTCATGCGTTGCCACAAATGGAGAGGATGGAAAAGATATCCACGTGCAACTGAAGGTCTCTGAGAAGCCCGGTACGGTCCTCGTCATGGGCGTGAGCAACTGGAAAGGCACAAGATGGGAAGCCAACAACGAGCAGATCCTTCTCCTGAACTGCAAAGGTGGAGATGGAGGTAATGGCGGAAGAGGAGAGGATGGTCAACAGGGCGGTGAAGGGGCAAAAGGCCGAAACGCTACGAAGTATAGAGATGCAGAGGTGCCTTCTCTTCTATGGCGTACCTCATAGTCGTTGCTGAACACAGCAGGATGGGCAACCTGGAGCCAGAGGCGGAGAGTAAGCTGAAGCCTAAAACGCTCGTGATATCTTTCTGACATCGATTAGTGGCGGATATGGCACTGATGGTGCCAACGGCGGCAAAGCCGGAAATGTCTTTATTCAACTTGCCGAGGAAGACATGGACCTCCTGCTGCCAGTCTATTGGGACATCCGAGGAGGCAAAAGTGGTGGCAGTGGCACACACGGAGATCCCGGTGATGGGGGAATTGGAGGTCAAGGGGGTGACGGCATTAGATGGTAAGATATCACCCAACAAAGAAATCAATGGTCGCTTCCAGGCACTCATTTAAAATAGGGAAGAGAGATATGGGAACACGGTCCACGAAAGGAGTAGACCCAGAGGAGCAGTCGGTCCACAAGGTCCGCCTGGAAATCGACCTGCGTCGTATCTTAGTGGAGGTCTGGCGGGCGCGAACGGCTCCAGCCAGGTCACGGTTATGCGTATGGACGGGACATCGGCAACATATCCGTCAGGCTATGTACTAAAAGTCGTCTCCTTCGATATCTGCGACGAGAACCAGGATGGAATCAATGAGCCCGGTGAGCATCTGCTCGTGTCGAACATCAAGGTCCAAAATACCGGTGGCATGCCCAGCCCAAAGGCCGCGGATATCGACGTCCTTATCCATGGCTAGGCGTGGTGCCTGGTCGCGAGAAAGAAGACTCAGGATCGCCAAGATACCAAATATCCCGAGCAGCAGGACGAAGAGCCAGCGCTTAGGGAGACGCCAGCCCGACCCTGTACCCTGTCGCGTATGGCTTGCCAAGGACGACTCTTCACCCTTCCAGAGCGGGATGTATCGCGAGGCCATACGTATGATGCATGGATTTCTTGCCAATGTTCCCCGTTGTCCATCGACGCGGTGGGCATATGGATCTTCGAAGATATAATGTACCGTTCGAGAGGGTGATGGAAGGTGTACGTGCCCGCAGCCAATTAGGTTGAAAAGGAGTTACAGCACTCCGTATTGAGGTACACAGGAATGTGAGTGGCGCCCCTAACGAGTCAGGAGGCGGCACACAGGCCAGGGAAACTGACACCCACGGGCCCCCTGCATGCCTGATGGGCGTCGTCTCGGGGCATGATCGCAGGAAAATTTCGTCTCTAGCACATTAGCATTCCTACATCAGTCTTGACTTTCTCCTCTACAGTTGTCAAACGTGCCGCTCACGCAGCCTTGTCAATGTACAATAAGTACGGGGGAGTACCGCTTTTGGCCCGATCGCAGTATCCTGACACTGAGGATGGCTGCAACAGGGGCAAAAGAGACGCCGAGAATACTCGCCGACCGACACCTGGGTCTGTTGGTAAGGGATGCTCATGACCTGTAGCTGGGTAAACGAAATCAAAAATACAGTATGGGAAGTTGAGCTCGCCGGAGACAAGGTACTCGTAATATCGAGACAAGATGATGAAACCAGGTTTTCCCGTGTTTGCACGGTCTAATTAGAGGCAGCCTTTCTCCATTCTTTCCCCAAATCTCCTTACAACCAGGCTTTGTAGTGTGCACTGTAACAGTCGCGAACCCTCTGGTCCAGTGCCCTGCCGAAAGACTGTGACCCTTCAGGGAGGCCGACCATCTCAGGCGCCCCACGCGCAAGGCCCGCTCAACTTGCACCAAGGACCGTTGCGAGCAAGGCAGTCTCAAGTTCCATCCCTCGTATCCAGCAAGATTTTGCGAATACGAGCCTGATGCATACGGCGAGATGGTGCTCCGTACTCCGTACGGCACCCCGATACGAGCAATCGCTGGTGCCTATTCATAGTAGAAAGCTAGATAGCTTCCCGCAGTAGCGAGCGAGCGAGCGAGCGTGGGTACTGGTGCTCCGTTGGACCCTAGCCTCGCTGATATACCGTCCTGGACTACCTTATAGCGTTCGATGAACTCTACAGCTACGGTATCTGTCCACCTACCTCCTTGTCTGCTCGCTATCCCAATATCCAAATACAATGTGCTCAAGGGTGTACAAAGGGCAGAGTTCGGTATTATGAATGCTTCTCCCACGACTGCCTACTGACGACACTGTGCCGAACAATGTCCCCAAATTTCGAACTCAAGACCACCCACTCCAAAGACGGCACCAAGATCGCGTACTACCAGATCGGCACCGGTCCAGGCATTATAATTCTCCATGGCGGCATGCAGCACGCCCTCAGCCACGCCGATCTCGCGACGTCTCTCGCCAGCCATTTCACCTGCTACTTGCCGGACCGTCGCGGACGCGGGCGGTCCGGCGGCCCCATCAAACACTGCACCTATACACCACAGAAGGAAGTCGACGACGTCGAGGCGATCCACGCCGCGAGCGGCGCAAAGTTCATCTTCGGCGTCAGTTCCGGTGCGCTGCTCACTTTGAAGGCCGCTCGGGCAGCCCCGCCGTCACATATAGCCAAGATCGCCGTCTTTGAACCGCCATGGTGGGCTGAGTCAGAACGAGAAGCCCAGATGGCCTGGATCGGCAGGTACGAAGCCGAGGTCGAGCGCGGCGAGCTTGCTAGCGCGGCCGTGACAGCCATGCTGGGGGCGCAGATGGGTCCGTCGATATTACAGTCAAAGTACTTCCCGCGGATCGTCTTGGTGGTGTTGACGAAGCTGATAATGAGGTTCGAACGACCTGTCGGTCTCCCGAATGACAACCAGGGAACAAACACCGCTGTGGCCCAACAGGGGTTGTCGTTCAAGGACCTGGTTCCGACCTTCTGTAACGATATCAAGATTGCGCTGGATATGCTGGGAGAGCAGAATCTTCGGGCACTGTCGGCGATTCAGACGGAGAGTCTGATCCTTGGCGGGACTAGAAGTCCAGCATATCTGCAACGGTCGGTGCGCGAGATTGACAAGATCCTGCCCAACTCAAAGCGCGTTGAGCTCCAAGGCATCGACCATGGCGGCACGTTCAACAAGCAACAGGGTGGGAGTCCGGAAGTGTTTGCACAGGAACTGCGCCGATTCTTTTCCGAGGGCAACGAAACGCAGATGTCGGAAGGTGATTGATACCCACTGCTCGCTGAGAACGCTCATGTACGCAGGGGGATTAATGCTTCTAAGCTGAATTAGTACTCTTTTTGCTCTGAGAATCTAAGGGCAATTTATCGATGCATCAAACGGCGCTGATCATTGCCGTGAATCCCAAGCCACATCGCTTGATGGTATGGGAGACTCTGTACATCATTTTCTCAACCTGTGACATCGTAAGCTTTTGACTGTTGGGCGCGTCGACCACAAAAGTCCGACAGAACTTGTCTTCAGAGGCAAATAAGGCTGAAGCTATTTTCCTATCATGCTGGAACAGGCTGCCTATCAGCCATACTCGAGAAGATCTCGTAGACATGCAACTTGTTGGTATGTGGCCAAAAGCGCGTGGGATTAGAATCCCGATTGCCGTTCGGAGTCTATGGTAATTAGAAGGATCCTCGTGTTATATCGCCGTCAGAAGGTAGATACCACTTGATTAAGCCTGGGACAGAACGAAATCGACGGTTCGACCATCCAAAGTCTGCACGATCCCACGTATTGGCTCAATGGATATTTTCGTCCCGTTGACAGAGCTTTGCAGGATCGATGATCGTGTGAGGCAGGATACAACACGAGGGCTGCTCTTAACCCTTGTGGGAGTCGCCAATACTCACCTGGGCTTGAGTCCTCAACGTTACAAGGCGTGCAAACACCACGCTTACCATGCCAGGTAGGCGCTACCGGAATGAAGAAGTGAAAGGACCGAGTTCTTGATGAACAGCAGGAACCAGAGCACGGATAAGACGCACCAGGGCACAATAGAACTTACCTTGGGACCAATGCTATTCCTGGATTAGTCTGGACAGGTTTCATTGGCCTTGCAATGCAGATACGGGAACTGCTGCTCAACCCTCCTCCAAAACTTTAGTGAGACTCTGCATGAGAACGGTAGAAGATCGTCCTCCTCAGCCCTTGTCTTGTGCTATTGACGAGCGCATCTCTGACATCATTCGAGAGTGCTATCGAGCAAAACCTCATTGACTTCGTAGCCATGCCCTTAGCCTAGTTCCAGAATGTCGACATGTCGAATGAGGATAGCCAATGGGAGGTGGCGACGCCGAGATGCGACCGTTCTGGGATAAACTTTTCGGTGTCCTGATTGGCTGTTTATCGACGGCGAAACAGACGGCCTGGGTTAAAGACTTTCGCTCGAAGTAACAGGAGTCTTACTTAAACAGGGAATTTTGTGTCCTTTTCGCTCAGACTAAACTGCTTCATGATTCAGCAACACGCATAAACAAGTTCTGTGGCCGTGCAGACGATTTGTGAGAGGGTATCGCAAAGGATGACGCCGACGGCATAAAGGCGTGCTGTACTTAAAACTCATAACATCCCACAGGGTGGATGTCGGACAGAAGACTCCCGGATTGAATGTCCGCTGCTGTTCTCAGAATGGGCTCGACAACCAAATACGCTATTCCAGAAGGAAGCCTTGTCGTCGTCAGTGGCGCCAACGGCTTTCTCGCGAGCCATGTCGTTGACCAGCTTCTGTTGGCGGGTTATCGCGTCCGGGGGACCGTGCGCAGCGCAAAGAAGTCTGGCTGGGTTGCTGACTATTTCGGAACCAAGTATGGCGTGGGCAAATTTGAGTTGATCGAAGTGCCGGAAATGGCAGAGGCAGGGGCCTTCGACAAGGCAGTCAAAGGTGCTTCCGGGTTCATCCACACAGCCACACCTGTCATGGTGTCCTATGATCCAAATGAAGGGATCCCGATTGTCGTGGAGGGTACGCTGAACGCATTGAAAGCCGCTGCTGGCGAGCCCACGGTCAAGCGGTTTGTGTTGACATCGTCCTCCACTGCTGCCATCAGTCCCAAACCAGATCTCGAGTTCAGTGCTGACGAGTCGACCTGGAACGAAGAAGCTGTCAAAGCGGCCTGGGCGCCTCCACCGTACGAAGGTGAACAGCGCAAGTTGGACGTGTACTCTGCCAGTAAGACCCAGGGCGAGCAGGCCGCATGGAAATTTGTGAAGGAGCAGAACCCGGGATTTGTCTTGAATACCGTCTTGCCCAATTGTAACATGGGTTTGGTCCTATCGCCAGAAAACCAAGGGGCACCGAGCACAGTGGGATGGCTCAAAGCGCTCTGGAACGAGTTCAAGGGCCAAGAGAGGCTCAAATTCAACCCTCCGCAGTATTATGTCAATGTCCAAGACACAGCTCGCGTTCACGTCGGAGCTCTCATCTTCCCTGATGTGAGCGGCGAGCGATTGTATGACTTCGCCTACCCATTCAACTGGAACGACATTCTGGCAATATACCGAAAGCTGTATCCAAACCGCAAATTCATGGACAATATTCCTGATCTCGGCAGAGACCTGAGCAAAGTCACGAACGGGAGGGCCGAGGAGATCGTGAAACGATTCGGTCGACCTGGGTGGACGAACTTGGAAGACACTATCCGCGACTCTACTCAGAGCTGGACCTGAGCGATGTAGTCACTCGAAGGTGAACAGGAGGGATAAAGCCTACTTGAGGGAGAGAGACTCATTCACTGCAAAGTCAGAAGTCACTGACTCTCTCCTCATGTCATTACAAATAGTCACGTGATGAAGGGATTGTCCTCAAAATCTCCAGAAGATCTTGCTCCGATTTCTTCCTTAGCTCCTCTTGTCCCTGAAGCCCCGCAAATGGCAGCGCAGGTCGTCATGATCGCGAACCCGGAATATGGCCACTTCGGCTTGGAGTCCTCAATGACAAGTCGTCCTACATATTCAGCAAGCCGGCTGGTTGCTCGGCAGGTGGAAGGGAGCAGTATCCTTTGTTTCGCTTATCTGTCTTTCGTATCTCAGTATCGGAAGTCTCTCATTTCAAGCCCTCGCTTTCTGTTTTCCACATCTCATGTCTTGTCGCTGACAACAGCATCATACCGTTATACCCCCGCGAAAAAATGAGGTACCAAACCCTTCGATTTACCATGTTCTACAAAGAACCCAAGGACGAAAACAGACAGGCAGCGAATGTGCAATCCCCGCATGTGGCGTCTTCGGCATCCAGCCTGCGATCAATGACTTCGACGACGTCGCTATTGTCAAGACATTCCACAAGTTCGACAACCAATGCGCAGAGGAGGAGCGACGGTGAAGTGCGAAGAGTATAATAAGACACACGTCCATCGACAATGTCATGGCGAATAGGACTCGATGAGAACGGAAAGACAAAAGAGGCATACATACGCAGGAGCCACGTTGAACACAAAAGGAGTTCTGCCACTCTTCGATGTCGCGATGCTCTTGAAACGGAGATATCATCGCTGACCCACTGCCTTCCCGCCATCCAAGGGTACTCACCGGATTTGCGATGTATTGTCTCTCTCGGGTCAACGACACTAAGAAATACCACAAGTGAATTCCATACTGGCAACACTGAGTTTCGGAGACCGATTTTCGGTGATGAAGGCCGATCCTTGGTTTCCTGGATTGTACAGTTCTGATAAGTTGCATTCTTACTTACTTGCCTTTGGGCGAGGAAGAAAAATAATGTTGCGAGGATCGGACACTGGATTTATGACTGTTTGTGTATCAATATATCTAGCCATGGCGCATGAGAGGGGATAGACAAACAACTCAGGGACAGAGCCGCTCGCTTTTGCGCCGGTTTCGTATTCAGGATTCCAGTCTGATCAATCCGGGGCCAGATGACACGTTCATCTTACCATTTGGTCACGCGGTGGAGAAATGGCACCACAGTCATTGGCCTTACAACGTATTTTTTTCACATGCCTCGGACAGTGAGCATTGCGGATAATGGGATGGGCAGGCTGAGGGCCGCGGAGCAGAGCCCGAGACATGTGAACCCGGACCTGGGGAGATTCGCGTGCGCGTGGTGCAGTGCGGGGCGGGGCGCAGCTGTCCCCGATTTTCAAGGACTGCTAGGACGGAGTATCCGTACAGCGCCCGTGGGAGAGAACGCCGAAAATGTATGGATGGCTGACTCTTGGGAAGGAGATTGTCCCGGAGCCATGGGCGCATCGGCGGCTGGGAACCGGCAATCTGAGCGCAAAGAGACAGCGTCTAGAACGAGAATGAGCTCATCCCAAGATACAAAACCAAGTGCGTTGGTCTTTCAGCGGTGAATAGCTTCGTCCAAGAGGCTGTACGAGTCGTCGTTGGCAGGAGCAACGTGGGCGCCAATCAGGTGACAGGTGAAGCATATTTGAAGTCACTGGCCACAAGCCGAGGTCCGTCGATTGAATTGCCTGCAACAATCATCGACTTGGTTTGATCAAATCCCGTCGCTGGCCGTGCAGCTGATCATACTCCTCTCTGTATTGCCATCTTGAGCTGCGAAAAGTGTCCTTCTTCCTCTCAGTCCGCGACCTCGACATTCTCCTTCGAGCACCCTTATCCTTTGCCCTTGTCCTCATCCGCTCGGCCATTCCTCCAAGATGGCCCCTCCTCGTGTGATTGTGGTCGGTGGAGGCCGTAAGGATCCCTGTGACCCTGTGAGCGTACTTCCATAGCTAACCATCCTCTCCACGCAGTCTCAGGTCTCAGCGCTGCACATACCGTCTACCTCAACGGAGGCAATATCCTTGTTCTCGACAAGAATAGTGAGCATGATCGCATTGGCGCTCGATGAACTCTGATTGACCGTTGCGCAGACTTCTTTGGTGGCAACTCGACAAAGGCCACTTCCGGCATCAACGGTGCTCTGACCCGAACCCAAGTCGACCTGGGCATCCAGGACAGTGTCAAGCAGTTCTACGAAGATACGCTGAAGTCCGCCCGTGACAAGGCGAGACCCGACCTCATTCGAGTTCTCACATACCAATCGGCAGCTGCCGTTGAATGGCTGCAGGATGTATTCAACCTCGACCTCACTCTTGTATCACGTCTCGGGTACGTGCGAGCTCGCGACGCGCCCGGATGCTAAGCTGACCAAATGCACAGTGGACACTCATTCCCCCGAACCCACCGAGGACACGATGCTAAGTTCCCTGGTATGGCGATCACATACGCTCTCATGCAAAGGATGGAGGAGCTTTGCGAATCCGATCCCGACAGAGTCCAGGTTATCAAGAAGGCAAAGGTCACAAAGTTGAACAAGGAAGGCAATGTCATCACCGGTGTCACCTACGAATACGGCGGCGAGGAACATTCAGTTGACGGCGTCGTCATTCTGGCAACTGGAGGATATGCTGCGGATTTCGGAGAAACATCGCTACTCAAGAAACACAGACCGGACACATTCGATCTATCGTCGACCAACGGCACGCACGCCACTGGCGATGGCCACAAGATGTTAATGGCCATTGGTGCCAACGATATCGACATGGACAAGGTCCAGGTGCACCCTACCGGTTTGGTCGACCCCAAGGATCCCACTTCCAAGTGGAAGTTCTTGGCTGCTGAAGCCCTCCGAGGTGAAGGTGGTATTTTGCTCAACAGCGACGGTCAACGATTCTGTGACGACCTGGGTCACCGTGACTATGTCTCTGGCAAGATGTGGGAGGAGAAGGAAAAGGGCAAATGGCCCATCCGCCTAGTTCTCAACTCCAAGGCCTCGAATGTCCTTGATTTCCACACTCGCCACTATTCTGGCCGTGGTCTGATGAAGAAGATGAGTGGCAAGGAGCTGGCTAAGGAAATCGGTTGCGGTGAAGCAGCCCTTGACAAGCAGTTCAAGGAGTATAACGCCATCGCCAAAGGGGAGAAGAAGGACGCCTGGGGCAAGAAGTATTTCCACAATATGCCCCTGGACATCAACGATACTTTCCATGTTGCGCTGATGGAGCCCGTCTTGCACTTCACCATGGGTGGTATGGAGATCAACGACAAGGCCCAAGTGCTGAACAAGGAGCAGAAGCCATTCGATGCCCTTTTCGCTTGTGGTGAACTTGCTGGTGGCGTGCACGGCGCCAACCGTCTCGGTGGCTCATCTCTACTCGGATGTGTGGTCTATGGCCGAGTTGCTGGTAACTCAGCATCCAAATACTTGCTGGAGAAGCTCACCACCGAGGGCGGTGCTTCCGGCGCTTCGAATCGTCTGGGTCAAATCTCGCTACACATTGATCCCAACTCGCCAGGAAAGATTTCCGTGGAGTGGAACAGCGGTTCAGCTGCTTCGTCAGGTCCTTCAGTCGGCACCAAGGAGACCACCCAACAGGCGCAAAGAAGCGCGGCACCAGTCATGGATGGCAACAAGAGCCAAGATCCTGGCAAGAAGAAGGACACAAACGACATCAGCAACTTCAAGGTGCCAGAAAAGGAATACTCACTGGAAGAGGTTGCCAAGCACAACAAGAAAGATGATCTGTGGATCGCCGTCAAGGGCGTCGTGATGGATGTTACGAACTGGCTTGATGAGCACCCTGGTGGTCCTCAGGCATTGTTCAGCCACATGGGCAAGGATGCCACGGAAGGTGAGTCTGAGCTGTGTACCCACGACTCTCGACAGTTGCTAACCACTTGTTAGAATTCGAAATGCTCCACGACGATGAAGTCATTCCCAAATATGCCGCAGATATTGTCATCGGGCGTGTCAAGGGCCAGGAAGTGCGGTTGGAGTACTAGTTGGGTGATGAGGACAATCTCGAGCAAAACATGTCCTTGGAAAGGCAGCATGGAGTTGATGTCTGTATCACGACCTGCTATTATACTATACTGTGTCTGCTTCCAGCCGAAGAGCTTCTCAATACATAAGGTGGTCTACCATGCCTTGAATGACGCACCGCTTGAATCCCGCGAGGCCACCGCAAGGCTGCGCGCTATCTGCATCTAGAATGCCATGTTCAAATGACGGTCATTCGTCTTGACCTCGAATCACTTGCGCCTCACTTCCATGTCGGATGCTCATGCGACAGATTTCCCTTTGTGACGAAACACTGGACGTCGCTTATCTTTTCCAATACGCTGACCAAGTCCAAGAAGTGCAGAAGACTGTGAGAAGGGCGCAGATTTATTGTCTCAGGTAAGGCTGACCTGATAAGACCGGTGCTTGGCGAACATCCCCGCCTACCGAAAGCCTCGACAAGTGTTGTGCTTGCACTTAGGGGAGATCGCTGTCGCTGGCCAGGGGAGAGGAGCAAGGGAAGTGCAGCTCAACAGCCTTGATTTCATGAAGTCTCTGCGCCGTGATCTTTTGTTTGGCTACCCTAACTGTTGGTGGTTGCCTTGACACTCAAGCCTGACGAGCTAACCGTGTCGCAGAATAGGAACTCGCCTTCCTCACCGCGACCAACCTGAAGTAACATCTGGACAAAGACTCCTGCCGCGGCCGCTCGCGCTCTCACACAACTCTCCCGTTTCTCACCCTCTCACCCTTCGCTCACCATGGACCGCCGCGAGATCCTCTCGAAAGGCGCCTCCCTGCAGAAGGCCATCAACGCCAAAGAACCCTCTGAAAACATCCTCACCATCCTCCGCGATCTGAAGACCAACGTCAAACCGAGCGAGGAACTCCTCCGTGCGACAGGGATAGGCAAGATTGTAAACAAGGTCAAGGGCGTACAAGGCTTAGATCCAGAAGTCAGCAAGCTCGCCGCAGAAATCATCTCCCGCTGGCGTCATGTAGTGAACGAACAGAAACTCGCAAGTGGCACGTCGACGCCGATCGCCAACGGCGCACGCTCCAACGGCACATCATCACCAGCACCTCCAGCCAAATCAGCCTCGCCTACGGGCGTGGCACCGGACAAGCGAAACTGGAAGGTCGACAAAGTCCCCCGCGACGACCTTGTGCCGCACGACAAGGCACGAAACAACTGCATCGGCTTGATCTATGACGGCCTATGTCTGGGCTCCGACCTCCCCATGAAAACAATCCTCGACCTCGCCAAACAGATCGAAGCCGCCGCTCTCAACCTTCCCGAGGCCAACGGGTCCTCTGCTAGTCCTGTATACAAAGAAAAGATCCGCTCTCTATTCCAAAACCTCAAAAACAAAAGCAATCCCAAACTCCGAATACGCATCCTCAGTGGTGAGATCTCGGCACAGAGGTTTGTCACGATGTCTCACGAGGAGATGAAGTCGCGCCAGCAGAAGGAAATGGACAACAAGATTGCCAAGGAGAATATGAATAATGCGATGGTTGCGCAGGAGGAGAAATCCGTGAGCACGAGTTTGGAGTGTGGGAAGTGTCATCAGAAGAAAGTCAGCTATAGCCAGGCGCAGACCAGGAGTGCGGATGAGCCGATGACGACATTTTGCGAGTGTTTGCACTGTGGAAATCGGTGGAAGTTCTCTTGAGTGGTCTGGTACAGAAGGATCCTGATCGGCTGGGTCCCCTTCACGCAGATTGTATAGCGCAAGGGCCAAGGTGCGGCTAAGGTGGCTGGCTTGCATGGCTGAGGTCAAGAGCTCGACGACCTCTGAGGAAGAGGAGAGAAACTTCGACACGAGATTGACCAACTGGTTGCACGTTATTGATCAGGGCGGCGAAAGAATCTTGAGATGCCTTGCACAGACGCTTCGTGACTCGACTAGGGACCGAGTTCTTGCGCTTGATGGCAATTCCTGGCTTTGGGACTGGCCCGGCTTCACCCTGTGTTAATGATCTACTTCTTATTCAGAGTTTAGGAAAAGGGGTTCTTCGGCCGGGAACAGCTACGGGGCAAGCTGGGGTATTGCATTCAGCCAGTATTATACGCCTCGTTAATCCAGAAGGGCTGGCCGGTCAGTCTTCATAGCAGTCGCTGCCTACAAAACCGGCCTAGCTAGCGCGGTAATCTTAGCAAGAGTTGCGAGTACGCCAACCATGTAACACAATCCTGCAATGGACACGAGATGACATCTGGCTGCTTTGCGGGATAACCGCGCCCTGATCCCAGCTGTAGCAAATGACGAGACCCATGCTGAATCGCCAGGTAGTGTAGAAACTCATGCAAGGACGGCGTTTCCTCCTTTTCGACAAACTCAGATACTGCACCTGGCACCTGATGGACGGAGTGCTTGGGAGAGCGTCCCTGATTACTCTCTCGCTGGTTGAGTGCGTTTCCCTGCTCTTCGCTCCATCCTCTTCAGTACATACCAGCAGGACTATCCATATCCAGTAGCAAGCTCATTTGGTTCCAAAGACAAGCTGCGAAGTGTCGCTAGCGGGGTACCCAAGGGCATGGCCAGCCAGCCGGCCTCATTAAGTCCTTTCTTTGAATGCTCTTGCTCAACACAGTCTGGCGAGGACGAGACGACGATGTGCCCTTACCTCAGGTAGGTGCTCATCCTAGCTTGAGCCTCAGCACTGAGAGGGGATAATTAACCTACACGGGGTGGGTGGGTGGTGCAACAGACCAGGTTTGACAATAGCATCGAGCTCCACCGCCTGCATTCCTTAACGAGTGCGGTCTCCCTTCAAAGGTCGGGTTGCGCCCAGCGTGTATACCGGTGTTTTCCCCAACCTCAAACGGGACCGTGGATAGTTGGTGTGAAGTGAAGCCACGCACGCCAATGCGATCTTATCCCCACGAGAAGGATCCCCTCGAGAAGGATCCCCTCGAGAAGGATCCCCTCGAGAAGGATCCCCTCGAGAAGGATCCCCTTACTGTAGCACTGGAGATTGTGAGATCTCGAGAGCGCGAAAAAAGACCGGCATGGCAAGCATCGATCGCTGAAGCGACGTCTGCTTGAAAGGCAAGGGACAGCGGCGATAGGTGATAGGTGATTGTGTGGGGTTGAAACCGTTTCATGCTTCCGGGGACTCACCTCTATCAAATTCACCTGCCTAAGAGTATTTACTTATTCTGCCTTTAAGCCGTTGTCTTTTGCAATCCTGGCATCTTACTATGGCATTTCATTCTGTGATCACAATGGCGTCGACTTCGGGTTTCTCGTGTGGGTTTTCGTCTTGCAGCCGACATCTTGACAATGTGTAGGTAATTGCTTTGTACGTAGTCTGACTCTACTTCGTATGCTCTCGCCGTATTTATTACCTGGCCGGGAATTAGACCTGAAACATGAAGCAATTTCTTCGGCCAACGTCCAAGTTTGTAGCTTCTTGTTGTCCAGGTCATCCACGGCCACACAACGGTCGTGAATAGGAGTTTTCTGGTGCTGTGAGCTGAGTGACGAGCACGCACGAGAACTTCACAACCACTTGAAGGTCACAGTGAAGTCCTCCGTACTCCGTCCAGTAAATTGAGTGACGCGCCGCGACGCATCCCCGCGTTTTGATCTTCAAGCGATTCTCCACCCCCAATGAAGCACCGCATCCACCGCAACTCCGCGCACCACAAACATCCCACCCCATTGACCAACCGTAACATTGTCCTTCCAGTACCTTTGTACGAGGGTACAATCCCCTCGCACACATCCAGGGGTCGGTATCTCCTGTCCATAAACAACCCGAACCACGCCCTCAAAAGCCCTTGTCCCCCGGTCCCCAGTCCCTTGTCCCCGTCTGCTATCCCAAAATGCTCCGCCGCAAACCCACCGCCCTCACAATCACGGCCGAAGACATCGCCTCCTTCGAAGAGGCACACGCCCGTCGCCTCGCGTACCTACGCTACAAAAAGACAGGCGACGACCCGGAGGGTTTGTTCCGCAACGGGGCCGGCCCGGAACTCCAACAGCAGAGCGCGACAGAGTCACAAGTGAGCGGTGAGCAGCAGCAGCAGCATCATCAAGCGGCGGCAGCGGCGGTGGATCCGAACGACGAGTTGAAGCCGTTGCCGGGGGATAAGGCGAGGATCGTGAGGGGGAGGGAGGAGCGCATCATGGGGCCCGGCAGCGCGAGATGAGAGCGGGAAGTCGAATGCGAAGGCGGTGGTCGCATATTCTGGATATCGAACTTCTGGATATCGAACTTCTGGATATCGAACTTCTGGATGTCGAACTTCTGGATGTCGAACCTCTGGATGTCGAACCTCTGGATGTCGACTGCTGGATATGCGGCGTCGGTGATGCAGCCGTGGCGGTTCAGAACGAATGAATGTCTGGAATGATCAACCCAATAGACGAGAAGCCTCTGGCACGATTCCCGCCGGCAAGGGAATTGATTGCACCCACCACGGTGGGCGCTGGGTTCGTGGCAATCACGATCGAGGACAATCTCCAGATCGCTACTTGGTGAGGGGATCTACGAGAGGAACGTGGAAAAGGGCGGCACCCTGCGCTTCAGTCGCGGAGATCTCAACGTGATGAGATACGACTTGCCAAGTCGAACATTGGCTCGGATTTGGACATGGTGGGACCTCTCGCAGAGTTCTGCATACCTCGAAAGACTTGGTGTATCTCTTCAACCCGGTCAATCAGACCAGAAGATATTACAATGTCTATCCCAGCGCGGGTGGTACAAATACAGAAACACCAGAGTCTTTACTCCTGTTTATCGTCCTCGACCCGTGGCTGTTTCGAATCACTGCCTTCTTTGTTCTCTCCATTGGTCGCCTGCCCTTCCTCAGTGATGGTCTCCATCCTGTCGGCATTCCGTCTCTCTTCCTCCTCGCGTGCTCTTCGCTCTCTCTCCAGCCGATTCTGCTCTTCCTCCATACTCATCCGCAGCGCCATGGCAAGCTCCGGGTCAGCAGCAGGGTCGATACCAAACTCGTCAAAGCGCCCGGCTCCTCCCCCCGTCTCGACGCCTTCCATACCACTGCCTCCGGCGCCGGCATCTCCGCCCATATTGACAATGGGCGTCGTGATGAGACTGTCACTGAGCAGGCCAGGGCCGGGGGGGATGACAGCCAGATAGTTGCCTTCTCCTGATGAACCACCCACGGCCTCCACGAACTTCTCTAGTATTGACTTGGTGCTCGATTCGATGGCGTCCCCAAACGCGACAAAGTCTACCGAGACGTTGTTCTTCTTACACTTCTTGGCCAGCTTGATCAATTCTTTTTCCGTGTCGTTCTTGTCTCCGAACTTCTGATCCAGCTCGCTGCATATCAGGACCACGATCCGTTGTCGCTGGGACTTGTTGGCTCTGTGATGGAGCGCCAGCATGGCCACACTAATGGCCGTGCCTAAGCGGATGTGTCCTTTGATCTTCGTCTCGTGTAGACCTGCGAGAATGGCGCCGAAGTTCGTGGTAGGAGTGTTGAGGACTTTGGGACCTGTTCCAGCCATGGACATGAGGCCGACAGCGGATTCGGGGTTGGAGGACGTTTTGGCATTGAATATCAGTGACACGGCTTCCGACTGTGCTGAGAATCGATTCGGTCTGAGACAATATGAGCAATGTGTCCGAGCTGTAGAAGACGCGATCTTACAGATAATCGCCATTTCTACTCGTCTCGCTGTTGTCAACAACGATCATGGTCGCCTCGAGCACCATGGTGGCGGTGGATGCTTAGAAGTCTGGGAGGAAGTTGAGGTTCTGCACAAGGTTAAACAGCGAATAAGGACGGCAAACAGGGAGAAGGTAAGAATTGGTCAAGAGGGCGTTGAATTCGGTTCAGGAATGGGGATTGATGTTCAAGTGACAATCATGTAAACGAAGGGCAGGCAGAGTCCAGTTACGCCGCAGCTTCGGATACGGTGAAGCATAAAAGTGCAGTTTGGACGTGCAACCAAATCTATAAAATCTCCCCGGTGCTCCACGCTCTCATCTCGGAATTGTCTACAACACCATCATGACCAGACCCACGAAGCCAGCCATCAATCCACTCAGGCCCAGATTCGACTTCACGCTCCCTGCGCCATTGCCATCGCCACCACTCGACGACGATGAGGAAGAATCAGCTGCACTGCTCGCGCCGGCCAATTTGTCCTGTCCAGCAGTGACGGTGACGGGCAAGAATGTGAAATCCGTTGAGCTGATCGTGCCACTATAGGCGGTCGAGAGCATGTCGACAGTCGTGGCCGTGAGTAGTTCACTGGCCTCGGATGAATTGATCGACGCATCGGTGAAGATCTGGTCGGGCGCCTCGATTTGTCCCGTGCACACTGCGCTTTTCGAGTTCTGTGCGATCGAGCACTGCAATGTGACACCCAGGTTGCCGGTGGTCTCTGAGGCCACCCATGTCGTCGAGCCATAGGTGATGGTTTGGCCCGCGGTGGGGCAGACATTCGTGTCGATGCTGGATCCGACGCATTCGAGTGCCACAACAGTGGACGAGGAGTCCTGGCGGGACAACGTCAGTCGCATTTTCCTGGGCTTTCATCCTCCCGTGTAATCTGGGCCGAGGGAGACGTATGCACGTACCGCCGTGACGATTGATCCGGCTAGTGGATATTGGTTGATGGAGTTCAGGCTCAATGTCGTCTCGGTGATCCAGAAAACGTTGATCACTGTGCTGCTGTCATCTTGCGCGTGCGCTTGGCCTGACAGCAGTGCCACCGCCGCCGCTGCTGCAGGTAAAGCTGAAGAAAAGGCGTTCTTCATTTTGAGGACTGTCTATTGCGCAGAGGAACTTGTTGCGCGGGCGAGAAGGGAGATGTATTCCGCGTCGAGGCTACCAAGCCATTGATATACTCGTTCATGTTAGCGTGCAAGAGGTAGCGGCCTCAATGGGCCGAAGTGTATTCTCAGACTATTAGCGCTGCCCCTGGGTCTCAATTTCTGATATCACGTCTCATGCCAGGTTTGATACGGGGTAGAGGCACCGGGGATGTATCCTTATTGGTTCAAGGCTGATGACCAAACAGTCTGGAAATGGCCTCAGCAAGCTGTTGGAGCCAGGTCAAAGTGCGTTGCAGCAGGTGAAGTGTTGCGTCTCAGCATTCAACATATCACAAAGCGTGTGCCGATTGCTCCAAACAATGCGACCATGGCTGAGTTTGGGCACGCCGCGGCACTTTGACAGACGGCCCCGTCGTCTTCTTCCAGGGGAAAGTCAAAGTTAACGAGATCATCTCGAAGTTTGATCGGCTTAAGCTCCAGGCCTGGAGCTGCCCTGGAATTCCGCATCAGGCTTGGATCAGGCCGAGCATGTCTCGTCGATGCCGTTTCGCACTCTTGTCGGCATCACCTGCAGCCGCAGCCGATCAGACGATGAGACGGGAAGCAAGGTGATTTCCTTGTGTACATAACTGCTCCGTACTCTCAAGAGTGGTTCTTCTGCTTCCTGCAGGATGAGCAAGGTACCAAGCACAGGAGTCGTCGACTACAGGTAGTTTGCACAGAAACAAAGCCACGTGAAGTCCAGGCCTGCAGCTGCTGATCGGGGGAGCCGAGCGGGGCGCCGCAGCCAGCAATGAAGGTGCATCTCCAACGTCGCTCCGTCCCCCGTGATTTGTACTGTGTACACAGTTACAAGCAGCGATTCTGGTCCTGCACCAATTCATCCGCTGAGAGCAGCGGAGCTGTGCATGTCCACACGAGTCTGGCAATGGCCAAGTCCGTGATTGCTCGAGACTGACGAGAATTGCATGACTGGCCGACGGGCTGACTGGCTCGTCGCCGCATCTCGTCACCCACAAGCAACATGTGAGTCTACGGCGATGTGATTCTCGCATCGCAGCCTTGTGCTGCATACTGGGGAAGCCCTTGGCTCCATGCACCACGACCTACATCACAACCCCAGCTTAGGCTCACTCCTCGCAGGCCTGTCTTCGCCCTCCTCGTAATCTCCAAAGCCGGCTCCTTGATCTACCACCGCACATTCCCGACAACCAGCCCTGGCACCACCGCCGCTGGCACAGGGCATCTCGCTGGCTCCGGTGCCGGCGCGGACGCAAAGTCCCAACAAACAGTCGGCACCCTCGGCCTACCCGGAACCTCGACCCTCACGACGAACGACTACCTCGTCCTAGCGGGGACATTCCATGGCGTCCACGCCATCACCCGCTCCCTGACGCCCAAATTGCCCATCACGTCCTCGTCCTCGTCGGGCACCATCCCATCCGGCACGGGCAAAGGCAAGACCTGGACATACCCCGACCCGACGGTCCCGGCGACAGGCATCGAGAGCATGGAGAGTTCGTTCTTCCGCCTGACGGTGTTTCAGACCCTGTCGGGAACGAAGTTTCTTCTCTTCACGGACCCGAGCATGCCCAACACGGACGTGCTGATGAAGGGCATCTACGAGCGGTACGCCGACTATGTGTGCAAGAATCCCTTCTGGCAAATGGAGATGCCCATCAGGATCGACGCGTGGGAAAGAAGTTTGGGGCAGTGGTTGACTCGGCGGTGAGGTGAGCGCGAGGGGAGACAGGAAGTGGGAATCCTCAAAAGGAAGAGAAAAAAGAGCACACTTGGCTGGGACCCAAGGCTTGGACGAAATGCTGTGATGCAGTCTTGAAGACAAAGCAGTGGTCGCGCAGCAGCACAGCACTGATCATCCAGTCCTGTCAAGAGCCCAGGTAACCTACAACCTCCACGTACTCGGTCAAGGAGATCAGCGATATCGCTGTCCAAGCATGCACGAAGAGGATAAAAGCTTGCTGCTAGAGACTTCGAGAAAAGGAGTACACAGGACGGAGGACTGGTTCAAGCCAGATGATCCACGGGCAATATCATTGGGGAACTTACGAGACGACAGAGAGAGTGAGAAGGTGCTCACCAATAAGAAACTTGAAGAGCAAGGACCAGGTGCCCACCAATAAGTAACTTGAAAGAGCAAGGACAGGGTGCTCGTCCAGGTGTAACCTCTATCTGAAGAGCAAGGACGCTCCTCACCAACCAACAAGCAACCTCCACCTAAAGGAGCGCACCGACACCATTCTTTATAGACCCGGGCTCTTACAGGACAGCCCGGTCTGACTGCTGCTCCTGCTGCTCCTGCTGCTCCTGCTGCTACTGCTGCTACTGCTGCTACTGCTGCTCCTGCTCCTGCTCCTTGTCGCCGCTCAACCAACCACGCCCCAGTACGAGTATCAAGCAGGTGACCCGTGATGCTACGTCGGGTTCGGGGATGCCCTCCACGATATCAAAGTCCCAGGCTCTTCGGCTAGAAAAAGTCGGACATGCAAAATACGCAATGCGCCGCAGCGCAGCGTAGCGCATCGCAACAAAGCAGAATCACGGCATGGGGATCTACCTTGGTTGTACACGATATACACTGTACGGAGTAGTACTTGTTTCATTGCACTACGTAGACCAGACCACCGCACTGCACCGCTCTACATACCTTGTACAGTGAGGCATGTGCACAGACACAGTACTGTAGACATGCCCACCTGAATCGGACTCGGAACGGAGAATCTGGACGTCTTCATTGAAATCATACGTGGACAAAGCCGTCTAATTACTCCGAACATTCCATGAGAATTCCACCACACCTCCTGTCGGTTGATATAAGATCCTTTCACAAAGAGACGCGCTCAGAGACTCTTTATATTTATACAATTACCAGGAGACTTCAAGTCCCATCCCGTTGACGTGCCTGATTCGAGCGGCGATCTCGTCGCTTGGCACCGTTGGCTGTAGCGTTTGCGTTGTGCGTTTGCATTTACATTTGCGTTTGTCTCCGCCACAGACAGGCATGAAGGAAGGAAGGCAGGAAGTACATGTATGTATATGTATATTTATATGTACGTGTATGCCGAGTATGTGTTGAGTATGTACGTATATATGCATGCATGTATGTCCGTCGATCAGCTTGTTTCATTTTTGAAGCACCGCCATGCCAGCCATGCATCGTTTGCTGGTCCAGGGCAGGTCCTGAAATCCACAGGTCGGTTTTGCTGCCTTACTAGCAGGACCTATGTTTGCTTGTTTGTTTGCTTGTATATATGTATGTACGTACCTAGGTATGGATGGATGGATGGATGAAATGACGGTCCCTGCGCGGTGCTCCTCTGCTACGCAAGTGTGGTGCTTGCTTGCGCTATGCCTTTGTTCTTTTCTTTACTCCATATGCGGAACGCGCATGCGTTCACTTAAGGGGTACTTGAGCATTTCGATCAAGTCGACAGCGAGGTCGTCCTGGTCGTAGTAGTCCTCCTCACTCTCTCAGGACGGGGATGATCGTATCCTCGGTTCCACTTCCACTCCCGTAGAAGAGGGAGCGTGCGTCCTTGCTCCTTACTCTTTCGTCGCCATCTCGACTCTGCGACTGTCTGGTGTCGGTTGTCGAGCGCCTCGGTCTCCCACGCCTGTCGCTTCCCTACGAGGCTGACCAGCTGACCAGTTATGGCTCGATTGATTTCCTACGGACTGACCAGTTTTGACTCGATTGCTTCCCTTTTGCGCTCGGACTTTCCGCCCTCCCTCCCTCATGCCGACGCTTGCCGCGTGAAACTTTGTCAGTGGAGCCCTATTGAGTGTAATCCCACCGTCTCTTCAATCTGCCCGCGTCAAAGACATGCGCCACACTTTGCTGCCACTGCTGCGACGTGACGAACATGCCAGCCGGTCCAGACCCTCCGGCCGTCGCGTACCCGGTCGATGGGGCTTGAGGTAACTGCGCGTGCGTGGCAACCGGGGGCGACGTATCGTGGAATGATTGCGCTTGTTGCGCTGCGAAGTAATGCTGTTGCTGCTGCTGCTGCTGTTGGTGTTGTTGCTGATGTTGATGCTGATGCTGTTGGTGCTGCTGGTGCTGGTGCTGGGCACCATATCCAGGTGACGTGGTTGAAGGGTACGTCGGAGACCCCGTAGATTGAAAGGAAGCCGCGTGATGCATATTCGGCATGTTTCCTGGCGGCGAGGCGCCGCTTCCACCGTAGAGTGACGGTGGGGGTGCAAGTGCCGACGGAGGAATCGCAAAGGCCGTGTCAAACTGGTCCATGATCGGGGTTGGATTCCATTGGATGTCGGTCACCGAGGGGGCTTGTTGGTAGTATCCGCCAGCGGAGGTCGGCAAGCTCGAATACGAGTTCTGTTCCGCGAGGTCGTAACCCTGCGCGTACATCGGCGTGGGGGGTTTGGAATCCGCGGCGTAGACCGACACAGGTGGAGTTGCAAGGTAGCCTGACTGTCTTGATATTTGGTTCATGTGCTGGGACACGTAGGCGCCGGGCTTCCCCTGTTGAGACGGGTGGAGCTCAATCGACTTCTGCGGTTGCAGTTGTGGCGGTTGTTGTGGCTTTTCCGACGCAGGAGGAGAGACGGGCGACGGGCGAGAATGCTCCGACGGCGTGCCGTGAGGGAACGATTCCTTCAGTTCGAAAGGCTTGTTGACGTCGGCCGAGAATGCGGCGCGAAGAGCGTAGATTTGGGCCTCCGTTTCTGGCATGGGCCACGCCGAGACACAGCGCTCCAGGATCCTCATGTGCCGGACAAAGAAATCCTTGGCCTCGAGGTTGAACTCTGGATCGGGCGACGAAAGCGCCACCAGGTGAAGCATGACGCAGGTCAGGATGGCGTAGATGGTGAAGTTGATGCCTCGTTGCATCACCAGCAGTCCGGTGAGGTCGAAGTTGGCCAGGATACCCTCCTGCAGCCGGCACAGGATCTTTGCAGAGTTGTAGCAGACGCTCATGTGGTATCTCCACTGGCTGTCGGCCCCGAACGATTCAGACGCCTTGAGCTGTGGACGATGCAGCATGACAACCGCCAGATGATAGTGAGAATGCATGTTTCCCAAGAAGTGGGACGGCACCTGGGGCACTTGGCCGGCCGACAAATGCAGCTGGAAGTCAGTGGGCAATTCATCTGGCCACTTCTTGAACGCCTTGTTGTATGCCACGAATTCCTGATCGAGAGCCCAGTCCTTTTTCTTTTTCAGCTTGATGTACGTGTCTGAGATCAGGCGGATGTTGCGAACGTTGCGGACGAAATAGGCGAATTGCCGAGAAATGGCCTTTTCGTACTCGTCCACGTTTGAACAAGGTGGATTCTCGCTGGTATCGACGGAATTGGGATCCACGCCGTAGTCGGTGCGTCCTGGATGCGTCAGTCACGGATGCCGTAGAGCTCACAGACGCCGATGAAAGCTACCTTGCGGTCCTCCAACCATGGTCTCGCAGACCAAAAGAGTCTGCCAAATCCGGGTCTTGGTCAGACACTCTATAGGATCGGAGCCACACGGTTGTCCACTCGAGTGCGTTTCGTGGTGCTCGTGCAACTCAAGGTCCTTTGCCATCGTGATCGCCGTCTTGATCGTCATCCACGACCGGTAATAGTAGCCTCTTTTGGGCGAGCTCTCCCGAGCCTTGAGCAAGAGCAACAAGGCTTGGAGGTTACTTAGCCGCGGGCTGTCGAGGAAGAATGGCTCGTGTTCTGGTGCCACGTTAGTAGGAACGAGACCGAGATAGCACCAAGGACCTACTGTTCGCTAATGCCAGCCATTGCGCACCTTGAGCTGGATCATCGGACAGACGACCTGCGTTAGCAAAAATGGCTTCCATAACGAGTGGTGATATGGAGGACGGGTCGTTCTGCCATTGGTCATAAAATTGGCTTTTGTTCAGGACCGGTACGTATGGGTGAACATTTGTGAAGTACGTGTCGAACGCCTGCATTGCTTCCTCCTGGGACGGCATTAGAGCTGGGGGGATCCGGATCTGAGAGCCCGCATCAGTCCTAAAGGCCGCTGCGATCCTTGGCTCAGGCTCCGTTTCATGGATCGGGGGATCCTGTTCCTTGCTGCTTTTCTCGGCCCTGATGTAGCCTGCGACTCCGGCGTCGTTGATCTTTAGCTGGCCGAGGTGATCCATAAGATCCTCAGCGGTGAACTGGTCGATAGGTGACGAACCGGCACGCTCTTGTCCGTAGGACTTCTCGTCGTCTTGGACACGGCGAAATGTCTGGGCGGCGTCCTGATAAGGGTCGCTGATGGTGCCAGAATATGGGTGAGCCGCCGGATAGAAGTCGCCATACGATTGTTCGGCTGCCTGAAACGAAGGTTTTTGGTAGTTGGCAACATATGTGTCGTAAGCATAGCTGTCGCCTTGGGTGAGTTGGAATGCAGGGGCGGCGGGCGCATAACCTTGCGCCTGTTGACCGGGTGCGACCGATGGTGTCGAGAACGGTCGCGGTCCTCGCGGCTCGTCCACAGGGTTTGCCGGGGCAATATCTCCTGCATCCTCTTCCAGACCGCCTGCCGGAGGTACACAATGGAGCTTGAGTCGCACACATGCCGCGCACGGCCAGGTGTTGGTCGTGGCGGAATCGCATTTGATCTTCCTCCGCCGGCAGCCCTCACAGGCTCGCATCACCTTCAGGCGTTTATGCCGGTTGTGCTCATCGACAAAGACATAGTTCTTCGGGCCCGAGGGAGGCGCGGAGGACAGAGGATAACTCTGCATGGTGGCATTCCATCCACTCGGACTGCCACCACATTGGGTAAGTGCGACACGGCGGTGCCTCAATCAAGGAGTTGTGGCCGTGGACGGGCCAATATCAAAGTCGATGACTAACTCTAGGTAAGCACGCCGGTCGACTTGGTGAGTATATAGAAGGGCGGCCGGGTGGAATGATAGCTGGGATGCAGACCCGTCGATTTCGAGCACAGATGGATGAACCCGAAGGCGCCGGCTGTTACTGTAAGAGCAAGCTGGCGAGACCAAGAAGATGAATTTGTGTGTCGCACGCCACAGAATGCAACCTCGGCACGATCGAAAATTCAGGCACTTTTCAGGGCGAAGGATCGTGCGCGATGCTGGGTTCAGGCAGTGCCAGAGTCGTCCTCGATCTACTACCGGTGACGAGTCGTTGCTGGCGGACAAGGATTCAGTACGTTGGAGGCGTGCAGCGACGACGGCAAGCCATTGTCCAGTCTCCAGACGACGATGTTTCCGACCAAGTGGGGGAGATCGGACAGGCTACGGCCTTCCAGTGATGCGAGTGTAGGATTCGCATAGACGACCAAGAAAGTCATGTGCGGACGCCCGGTTCGGGGGGGGCTTGTCACTTCATTGTCGAGGGGCTAGCAATATGCACATGCGCACTGAGAGAAAGGCTGCAGGAGGACTTATCAATCCATCGACACGCAATAAATAGCGGAAGGGTCTCAGGTGCCGGTTTCACGACTCCAGTTGGCGCCCGGTCACTCGCTCCGGCATGGCGGACAGATTGCAGGGACAGAGACTGGCGGATGGAAGGTGAGTGGCCAGTTGTGGTAATGGGTGATACGGGGGGAATCAGAGGAACGAACGCTGGGTTGCTCCCACCACACTTACTGGGTAGAGGGGGCTGGAATGTGCTGTCAGCCCTAAATGCAACGTCCATCAGGCATTCCTGCTTGAGGGGCGTTCGTTCCCGCCCACCGTAGAAATTACAGTCAGGCAGGAGTTGGCCAGATGGGCGAGAGGCAGACGTGCACAGAGGCTCGTTCGTGCCTGGTTTGACGACCGGCCTTCCGCAAGAGAAGCACATCTTTCGCTTAGCGAGTCGGCCATTCGCACTGGAAAGGCCCAGGGCGCAAGGATCTGACTTCAGGCGTTATCTCATACGAGGTACTCTGTATTGCTGCAAAGCGAGCACCGGGGACGTCCTTCGCCTTCTCCCCGTATTGCTCGACCCAAGCATTTCATTCTCGGGTGGCAGCCTTATGTGAGAACATGTCTGCGTCTTGAGACCATGACCATCTACGTCTGCGGTATTACATTTGTGGCGCAAATTGCAGCACAATGGAAAACCGGGGTTTCTTCAGTAGACGATCACCCACCGGGGCAATCTGCGTCTGTCGGCGTCCGACTCGAAGCATGATCATCATCGGCAGCAGCCATGGCCGAAGTGGTGAGAGTGTCTTATCACAGCACTTTGGTGTTCCCGTTAAAAGACACTTGAGAAGGTGACTCGGGGAGAAGGCATTGACAACAAAGGTGCCTTGGCTTGTGGCACCATCGCTCGCTTGTTCTCGGGCGGTGTTTCAGGTCCATTGTTGGGTTCACCTTCACCCCGCACTCTGGAGGCTTGAGCCTGCTGCTAGACACTCGTTAGGGGATCTTCAGGCGATCAACCGCTGGGCGAAAACTCAGATCCGTGGGAGCTCTGGGCGTCAGATGATGGCTGAAGCAGCACGATTCTCCACGGCGAACGACTAGACACATGTCTGGAGGGATGGCACAACAGGGAACGAAGTCTTGCAATCGTCCTGACTGACGCACTGCTGCTACGGACTGTGTACTCGTGTGAGCGGACAGTCTGCGTACTAAAAAGCTGTTCTGGACAGAGTAACCTTCTAGAATCAGGGAAATTCCCGATCGAAGGTGAGGGACGGTGGGGCCTAGGGGATGAGCAAGAGCAGCATGTTGCCACAACGGCGAACGCCGACGCGACAAAGGTTCGGCTACTCGTACTCGTACGAGTAAAAAGGCGTTCAAGATCGGGGCTCCGTCGCCTATCCCTGATGTCAGTGGCGAAGTACAGAAGATCCGTGCGAAGTACTGTGTACCTCTTACCCAGTAGACGAGTCTTCCAGCAGCCAGTGCACGTGCCTGTCTTTGTCACACAAATGGAAGTTGTCGTGGTGGCATGGGGCAGCCTCGGCAGCTTACCAATGCTGAACTCACCCCACCTGCTTCGCCAAGATCACGTGTGCCAAGGCAGTCTCGATCACTGAACTTTTGGACTTCCATCAGTTCATCGCGCGAGCAGAAGAATCTACACAGTACTGATCGTTCTGACCAACGTTTCGCATTCCGAACCACTCTTTGTTTTACTCTATACAAAGCCGCCAGCCATGGAAGACGGCAAGAACGCCAATCCGCTTGTCCTCAACCCCTCCGATTTACCCACGCGGAAGCGGCGGGCATCAGCACGAGATGATCGTGCCCACGGTGAATCAAGCTTTGTCTATCCGGCACCGTCTTTCGCCAACGATCCTTTCACGCGCACGGCGAGTCCTTTGGCATCCGAGGAGAGCGATAGTGACGGGGAGGAAGAGCCCATCGATGCCCAGGAAATCTATGACCTGGTTGCCACCATGTCTGACCCTGAGCACCCTATCACCCTCGGCTCGTTGGCTGTCGTATCGCTACCCGACATATCCATCATGCCCACCATCCCGAACCGTCCGAGCTCGAACCTCCAAACTGTGACCGTGTTAATCACACCCACCATCCAACACTGCAGCTTGGCCACCGTCATCGGCCTAGGAGTTCGTGTTCGGCTGGAGGAGTCCTTGCCTCCTAGGTTTAGAGTTGATGTCAGGATTAAAGAGGGAACACATTCGACCGCAGACGAGGTCAACAAGCAGCTGGCCGACAAGGAACGGGTGGCAGCGGCCCTATGGAACCCAACCCTGCAAAGCTTTATCAAGAAGATGCTCGAGACCTGCGAGTGAACAGGTCAATGCATCCCAAAAATACCTCATCACCGAATGGTCATCAAAGCCTTGCTCACAGTACGTGATCCACCATCGGTACCCCGAGTTGTGACCAGCGCTTGACTAGCACGTCCCGTCCTGCAAACAGTCCAGACGGAGCAAGAGAGCTGGCGCCCAGGCCTGGCATCCCAACGGGTAACATGGTGGGATTCAATGCCCATTTGAGCCATGCCTATCTTTGGTCATATCCCAAGACGTTGAAGTCGTCTGCGCTAAAAGCTGGCAGTTATGCAATAGCGGCGGTCTATCCCTGCAAATAGGTACTTCCTGACGGAATAACCCCAAGAGTCCCTGCGGATGACGTCTTGTTGGGTCAGACCACACTGAATCTGGAAGGCCCCCATGGGGGCTGTAGCCAATATCCGGGCACAGCAGGATGAAGAGCTGACATTCTGGGAGCCCGACTAGCCTGATGGCGAGGACGAAGGAACGTGGTGACTGTGCAACAGGCCTTCACTTGTTCGGAAGAAACACAACCCGGCGCATGCAGTTACTCTGCTTGGCAGCTTTATACGACGAAGCCAAGAGTACACTCAGCATTAGATGATATGCCATAAACTGTCGGGAGATATGTATCAGGCCAGTACGAAGTAAGGCTGACAGATACGAGTACATATCGCGCTCGGAATGTCCAGTCGGGCCACGAGACTATTGTGTTGCGTGGGTTCCCATGGGTCTCTGGCCAACAGCTTGGCGATGGGCGATGGAATGCTTGTCGCCCCTGCGAGCCTCGCGCGGGTGTCGAAGCACGTGAAGCCAAAACAGGACCCATACTGTGTACATACTGTAGTACCTAGTACGCACAGAGCACTCAGTACTGTACGTACACATCACCCAGAGCAGGTGGCGGGATGTTGGTGTGGAGGCGTGAGGCGTGCGCTAGTCGAAAGGCAAATGCACCAAGAAAAATACAGGTAGCAATGCTTCATTACACCAATATTTCATCGTAAAGCTGCAACTGTGGAGAGAGTCTGCACCAATATTCCTCTAATGTCACGTAAATAACAGCCGCATTACAACCTGTTACCATATGAGGATTTCAGTCACAGCCGTTTCACGACGTTAATTCAACACCAATCAGAGACACGGATCTGCGCACGTGCACTCCAACCTCACTTCTCTTTCGCTCGTCCAGCATCCCACATTCCCATCAACTAAAGCCCCCGGTTCGAGCCAACGTCCAGTCTCGTTGCTCGCCTCGACGATCTCTTTGCAACAAGATTAACTGGCGCCCGCGCATCCGCCGTTAGTGGGCATCAACGGACAAGTCGGCTGTGCAGTCACGCATTGCACAAGCCCCCAGCGCTGGTGAAGCAGATCTGAGTCGAAGCACCCGCGAAGAATCTCTTCAAAATTCGCCAAAACTCTTAGCAATACCAAGCTTTTGGGTGGCTTTGGAGTGCATTTTTCGTGATATCATTGTTACTCGTCTGACAGGCATTGGGCCGCCGTCTCGATGTCGCCTTCTGATCGGATGGTCTCGAGTATCGCCGCTTCGCGAAAGCAAGGCCGTTCCGGCTGCTACGAGGTACTGATGCCGCTTATGACGATCGCTGATGTCGCCTGCTGACGAGTTTCCATCTTCCCAGCGCTCCACCTACGACCCTCCATCGTCTCCCTTGCCCTTCTCTACTGCCTCTTATCGATCATCGGGCTGATTGCAGCAAGTCACACACATCAGGCCGCAGCATCGACCCCTACTCTCGTCGATTACCCTTCCCTCCGACTACCAATGGCGCTGGCACGCTGCATGTGCCCTAATAACCCTTGCTTCGGCTGCTGGGCGAATCAGTCAACCGACCTTGAACTCGTGGCTTCACACATGGCTTCTTCTGGCATGTGTCGCCCGTACTCAGCTCCTCCTGCAGCATCACAATTGGATTGTTTGGCCTGTACCGTCATCCGCCTGTTCCGAGATCACTTAAGCTTTTATACTTCGAGCTACTCGTGGTCAAGCTCGTGCCAATCGCCGAGTCGCCTTGGCCTCCGTCAAGGTTTTCTTTTTCTTCGCCTGGCTCCACTTTCTCCGGTTGCGAGAAATTATGAAGCGACGTCCTCCCCATAAATTGCGAGCACGACCTCTTTGACTTTTCGTCTGGTTGCAACAGTCCCTTTCCCTCTGCAGCCTTGCACTGCATCTCTGTGGCATCTGTATCATATAGTCTGGTCACCATGGCTGCCACTGGGGAGGCCACCGTCTATGATGACGTGACCAGATATGGTCCCAACCCGCCTCATGGCCCCGACATTTCGGGCAGCCACCCGCCATTTGAAGATCCCCACCTCGACATGACTGCGAATGAAAAGGAGATCTTCAAGTACTTGCTGAAGCCCGACGACATGTACGACGAAAACGGCGTGTACTGGGCCGATCTGCCCATCATGAAGCGAGTCAAGTTCGTCAGCAAGGTCGACAGACAGGAGACGAGGAGAGAGTTTGCTGCCTTCTGGCAAATGTTCAAGAACGACCCTCTTGCTCCCCTCGGCTTCTACATGCGTAACATGGTCCTCCCGGGTGCCGGTCTCGGTCTGGAAGGGTACGTCCTGTTCTCCATCGGCAACATCAAGCCTCTCTTTCAAGCTGCTTTCCCCGACTGCTGGAAGTCCAACTCGATCTGCGACAAGACCTGGATCAACGCCATCGACTACCTCGAAATCTGTGGTATCATTGTCGGCCAGATCCTCGTCGGTTTCATCGGCGACTGGATCGGGCGTCGTTGGGGTCTCATCCAGGATGCCACGATCATGTTCATCGGTCTCATCATGCTCGTATGCGCATGGGGTGTTACCCAAAACGGCTGGGTCATTTGCTACGCGTGGTCCTTGTTCTTCTACGGCATCGGTGTCGGCGGAGAATACCCCATGACTGCCACCTCCGGAATGGAGAACGCCGTCGGGTCCGGCAAGGTCTCGACGCGTGAAGATCGTCTTCACCGGGGTCGCAAAGTCGTCAGTGCCTTCTTGATGCAGGGGTGGGGTCAATTCTTCAACCAAGTCATCCTCATCCTCCTGCTCTTGATCTTCCACCACGGCAGCGGAAATGCCCCATACTCCAAGGTCGCGGCTCAATACACCTACCGGGTGTCGTTTGCCATCCCTGCTGTCGGCACCGCCTGGCTCATCTACTTCCGTACCTTCAAGGTCAAGGCCAGCGCCAACCGACAGCTTCGTCTCGCGAAGAAGAAGAACGCCGTCACCGGGTACGATGTCGAGTCCTTGAAGTTGACCTTTTACTACTTTGGTGGTCGGGTCCTTGCCACGGCCGGTACGTGGTACATGAATGACGTCTTCTTCTACGGCAACAAGCTCTTCCAGAGCGAGTTCATTTCCGTCATCATGCCCACGAGCACCTCGATAATGCCGGCCTGGCTTTACAACCTCATCAACGTCGGCGTCTCACTGTGCGGTTACTACCTCGCCAGCTTCCTGGTCGACAACAAACTCTACGGGCGCAAGCACATGCAGTCCTTGGGTTTCCTGATGGACTTTATCTTCTTCATCATCCCCGGAACCCAGCTCGGCTACTACACCTCCAAGGAACACATCAAGGAGTTCCAGGCCATGTACTTCTTGTCGTCGTTCTTCCAGCAATTCGGACCCAACTGCGTCACCTTCCTCGCTGCGGCCGAGGTCTACCCCGTCGCCGTCCGTGCCACGGCCCACGGGTTCTCCGCCGCCGTCGGCAAGTTGGGTGCGCTGACCGCCGCCGTCGGCTACAGCTATTGGTCCACGCAGACCAAGTTCTGGGTCGTCCCGTGGTTTGGTCTTGCCGGCGTCATCCTCAACGTCATCTGGATGCCTGACACCACGGGCCTCGATCTCAAGGAGCAAGAACGTCGCTGGGCGTACATCCGCGCCGGCCGCGAGAAGGACTACCACGGTATTGCCATCCACCCCAAGCATCTGAGCCTGTGGGAGCGCATGCGTGGCGTCGGCAAGCCGTACGACCCGGAGCTTGACTTCAAGCAGCGTATCGAGGAGATGCGTGGCGAATGGGAGGAGCGCATGCAGGCCAAGGTGGATGAGGCCGAGCACGACGACCATCTCGCGGACGACGACGACTTCCACTCCGAGGTCTCCTCCTACTTCAAGCGCTCCACCAAGTCGCCCAACCTGCAGGGCATGGAGAAGGAGAAAATCCCCCCGGCCGAAGGCTTGAATAGCACCAACGGTATCTAAGCACCTCACCGCCTCGGCTTGACTTGCTTGGAGGAGACGGTCGAGATCTGGACGGTTTAGATTGTTAGAAAGGGCGATAGAAGTAGCGTAATGCGGTGGAGTTTCCAGAGTCAATTCCATGTGTCAGTATGTGGTGTCAGCCAGTCACCGCATGCCGAAGTCCGACAATCGATCAAACAATCATTGATCCATCCATCCTGGAGTCCGTTCGTTCGTACTCTCACGTGCGATGCCTCGTGAAGAAGAGATAGCAGGGATGCTGTGAGCTCAGCCTAGCAGAAGGCAACACCGGGACCGTCACCCGCTGTTTCTTCTAAGGAAATGTGATGTGACATGATGCAAGGTGGTGTGTCGCCGTATCGCCATATTGCCGTGCTGGTATGTGCCGTGTTGGTATGTACTCATTGTCGCGTTAATGTGAAGTGGTGTGCAGACATGTCATACACCAAGGTACAGTACAACAACAACAACACCACCACCACCGGGCAACAGCTCCATGAAGCGAGTCGTCCCAACTTGACTTGACCTGACCTTGCCTTGATCTGTCATCCTCTCATACCACTTCCGGTGGACGTCTCCCGAAGGCAGCATGGTATAGCATGGCGTGGCATGGCATGGCATTATACTTGGGTACCACGCATTGTCGGACCTGGCCTGGTCTATTCTGTTCTTTTCCAGCTTAGTCTGCTCCGTACATAGTAGGCTTGCTCTCTTCAATCAACCGATTAACCCATTGGAGTCTCCATCCAGACGGGTAAAATGACCGACTTGGCGAGCAATACCGCAAGTGAACGGACAGTACGGGGTACCTCGTACTCTCTGCTCGGACGGGCAAAAGTAGGTGGGTAGGTCCTAAACTGTATCGGTAGATATACTGTACTTCCCGTACGGAGTACTCGGTACAGTATCTACGCACATAATTCAGGTCGATGCTACCTACCCGACTCAACATACGAGTATAAGTAAGTAGCACTAGGTAGGACGAGTACAAGTAAGTAGCATCACAAGGAGTCCCTGGCCGCAGGTTGCCCCAAGTCCCCATCCATCCACACCACCTCGGGCACTCGTTCGCTCGCTATGTAGTGGTCCAATCACTGTACTGTACTCATCTACTTACTCACTTACGTACTTGCTGATACATAGCCCAGTCTACTCACTTACGTATTCACTGATACGTGGCTAGCTCATCTATAGAGACAGAGCACCCAGCGTCAATTGTATAGCACCAGTACTAATACACCTACTCCCATACCTACTTGTAGCTAGCTCATCTATAGAGATAGAATAGCGTTAATTGTATAGCATACAGTACTAATACTCTACCACTAATGCTATACTGACAATAGAGACTTAATGGCGGAGTCGACCCAGCTCAACTTCCTCCAACCTAATCTAATCCAATTCAATCCAAGTTTGACCAAGGTTGAGTTGAAGTCGACACGGCACCGACATCGAGCAACATACCGAGAATGCACAGGACCAACTGCCTGGCCCGTAGTGTAGCAGGGGGATGTCACGAGTAATGGGTGTACGTCGCATTAACCACGACAACGCGCAGGTAAAGCAACGAAATCGAGTCAGCAGATATCATTTGCTATTCAACCAGCACTCTAAGTGGCTCATTTGGACTGTCTGTCCACCGCCCCCTTCGCATCGCCGTCGGCACCGGCCCTCTGGCCATGCACATCCCCAAGACCACCCCTTCACTGCTCCTCCTCCTCCTCCTCTTCCTCCTCCTCCTCCTCCTCCTCCTCACTCACCCACTCTTCCCCCTCCTCCACGTCCATCCTTCTCTCCAACCCACCGACAACCTCCCGGGCCACGTTCAACGTGCCCTGCATGCTCTCCAACAACCGCGTCAACTCGGCCTCGACGTCCTCGTTCGACGCGTTCGCCGCCATCACCGCCATGCTCGGCGGGCTGACCGGCGGAACCCACGCCACAACGGGACTCCTCATCCCGACAGGGATGGCGGTCGCGGTCGAGAGCTGCGACGAGTCGGATGCGCGATGCGCATTGGGCAGCCCGTTTGGATGGGCATGGCCTGGACCCGGGAAGCCGTCCTCGCCAATCCGCGCAGGCCGTCCCATTGCATACGGCGTTGGGCCCGGTCCGTTCGCCGTCAACGGCGTGTTCACCCCCGAAGATCGTCGAGAGAACATGGTGCGTCCGCGCCCGGAATAGAATTGCCCCATGTGTACGTCTTCGTCCATGGTGGCCGGGCCGGGGTGGTCGCCGTCGACGTCCTCGCGCTCAAGACCGAATGGATCCACGTCCGTGGATGAGGCCGAGACGTCACTGTATGCTTCTGACAGTGCGGTCGAGGGACGGGGGATTTCTTGCTCTTCGGCGGCGGTGAAGTCTTGCAGTGTGACGGGCATGGTCATTTGGCGCATTAGTGGTGCGGGACGGGTGGGTGTTGGGCGGGATGAAGGGATGGGCTTTTGATAGGAGACTTCGCTAGGAGGAGACGCTTCGGAGGTTTGCTGCTCATCTTCCGTGGCTTTTGCTTCGGCCATCGCCGTCGAGAAGGACCATTCCATTGTCGCGTGTTTTCTGGCTTTCTTTTCAGGGTCCGCTGCTGCGGACGTTTCTTCATCAGTCGGACCTGGAGCGTCTTGCTTTGGTTCCTCGTCTGGGACGTTGATTTGCGGGATGCTCACTGCAGCTTCAGACATTGCGCTTGCAAAGGACCAGTCCATGGTTGCGTGGCCGGGTCGTGACGATGTGATTTCCGCGGGCTCTTGGAGCTCAGGCGCTTTGGTTCTGTTCTTAACAGTCCAGTCTTCCTGGGATGTGGCAAAGTCGCGTTGTGCGGTGCTTGAAGGGAGTTCTTCTGTCGACGAAGCTCTTCTCGCAGTCAGAGATTGGTTGTTGGGGTCTCGAGGCCCTTTGGAGTTTGCGCGCTTTTCGCGAAGTGTCGATGCATCAGCAAGTCGGATAGTCTCTTCTCTCATGGGTGTCCCCGCGAACACCGTCTGGATTTTATCCTCCGTTCTTGGAGGTGCTGCAGCAATAGCGTAGTCCGCTTCGTCAAAGTCTCCAAGGTCGATGGCGACCGACGCAATCGAGCTCGGTCTGTCTTCAGCCATGGCCCGGAAAGGTAAGTCGGATATTCGACGCTGTTCTGGGATAGGAATGAAATCGGTCTTGGTCTTGTATTCGTACGCGGGCTGGTCCTGGTTGAAGAGGTTCGAAAGATCTGCCCCTCGCTTGACGCGGGCCTCGAAGTTTGCCTTTTGAGCGGCCGTCATTTCCTTTGGTGGCAACAGTTCCCCAGGTCTGCGGAGCCCCTTCGGTGTCTCTTCTCCCTCCATGGTCTCGTCAGAGCTCATGCCTGTGAAGTCTGGAATCTCCAATATGGCAGAGACACGTCGCTCGAAATCTTGAGTCATGCTAAAGTTCCACTCATCGTCGGCGTCGATGTCGGCCTCGGATCCAGGTATAGGAGCAGCGGCAGCGCCGCCGGGCATGAATAGGGACACTCTCTGGCCGCCTTGGAAAAGCCACGCATAGTACGTTTCGACGAGCTCGGTCAGCATGCTTGTTGGGTGAGTCTCTTCGGTGTCTCGGAGGAATTCGTGCTCAAGGACATCCTTCATCGAAGGCCGTGTGGAGGCGTCTGGAGTGAGGGTATAGGAGACAAGTGAACGTAATCCATCACTGAACTCCCCGCTGTCCGGAAGAGATAGTGCTTGCTTCATCCGTCTCATCCTCATCTTCAATTGTTGGCGTTCACGCAGATCGGCATTTGGAGGTTTGCCCATGGCACACTCGTAGATGGTGCAGCCGTACTCCCAGACATCGACCTGGACCATGGTTAGTTGCCCATTCATTGTTCCTCATCGAGGCGCGGCCGCGCCATGGATGAACTCACCTCGTCTGAATATTCAGGATTATCTGTCCACAACTCTGGCGGCATCCAGTGCAGAGTCCCAATGAATGTCTTTCTCTTGTCTGTTTGAGTGTCCAAGATGGAAGCCACTCCAAAGTCACACAGCTCGAGGCGGCCCTCCTGATGAATGAGGACATTGGCGGCTGAAAGAGACAGGCAACGTCAGCCTCAGAGGTGATATACAAGCTGACAGTTTCACTACGAGGAATCGACGTACCTTTCACGTCTCTGTGTATGATGCCAGCTTCATGCAAGCCTTTCAGAGCCTTTGCCAACTCTCGTGCCACAATGATGATGTACTTTTCGGATAATTTGTCCTCGGTGGCTCGCATCAAAGTCTTCACACTGCCACCGGGACAATATTCACACACCATCCAGAGCTGACTGTGAACAGGCAACGCCTCGATCATCCGGTTAAGGTTCTGTGCGCCACTCTCTTGGGCCTGCCGCAAAATGCGGATCTCACGGTTGAAATCTCGAATCTGCTCGTCTTTCGAATCTCCAAAGGCGTGGAAGTCGGCCTCATCGATATCGAGCACTTTGATGGCAACAACTTTGGCTGTGGAAAGCTGGCGTCTAAGACAGAGGTGAGTAAAGGTCCAGACAGAGAGACAGCTCCGAAGCCAACAAATGTGGGGAGACTCACCCCTTGTAGACTCTTCCAAAACTCCCTTTCCCGATCAGCTCATCGAAGCCATAGTCAGGTTCTGGTTGCTTGGATCTCTTGCACATCTCTACAACTGCTTTCTGTTGTTGCTGCGCAAGGCGAACCGCCTCACGACGGTGTGCGGTCATAGCCGCAGCAGAATCTGGATGAAGACTGTCCATGGTGTGAGTTTCGCCTGGTCGACGTCGCCGTCTGACTGAAGCCTCGATCCTGGTAAGAGCTCTAACTCTTTGGACTTGCTGCTCCTCTCTGGTCCGACCTTCAAGAACCTCAAGCGTCCTTCTACGGTGTCTGACAATGAGGGTGTCTAGTTCTTCCTGAAGCCGGAACGCAGCTTCCGACTCTGTCGGTTCGTCAGAGAGAGCTTGGGCAAGACCCTGATGAAGAGGGCTTTCAAGTTTTGATCTGGTGGCTTCTAGGCTCTCTCCTGATGTGGTTGATGCTGGAGTTGCTGGCGGCCTGGTCTTGCGGATGCAGAGTGGAGGTGGTAATAACGTGCGCGAGAGCCCTCGGTTCTCGTTCGCGCCTAACGGATGATCGAAAACGGTGGATTGGGTGGCGCCGGGGTCAGGCTGAAGTAAGAACCCTGCTGGTCGAAGCGGCGATCTGTGAGGAACAGGAGGTGGACTGCCAAAATCGAACCTGGCTAGTCGACGAGGTGACTTTGGTGGGGGAAGGAGAGATGCAGCAGAGTCAGTGGTGCTTGAAAGTGAAGTGTGATGCGGAAGCCGTGACTCGTCTGGCCGAGGAACGTGCCTTGTCGCTGGTGATCGGCGTTGCTGGAGAGAAGTGGTGTGCCCTGAAGGTGTAGGGGAAGGCTGGGATCGGCAACCGTGCGACGCGGAATCGCTGACACTTTCTGCTGTTTCACTTTTCTAAAGTGGAGAGCAGGGGTCAGGTTCGGCGGTTGAGACTTTATGGGTACGGCCTGGACTCTTGGGACGATGCCTCTCCTCAGTTGAGCCAGTCGGGCTGTTTGTGTATGACGATGGAGGTGATGGTAGAGCAGGGTATCTCTCTCTCCGGAAACCGGCGAAGAAAGGCGACGTGATCTTGAAGACGATGGTGGAGAGTCTGGTGTGTGAGGTTCAGAGTAGTCCTGTCCAACACGATCAGGGCAGGAGACAGCAGACGCTGTCCTTTGTTAGCGGCAGTCATCCATCTCGGTCGGAACGCCTTTCCATCAGACCAACGCCAGATCGACAGCTTCACATCTGCGCGCGGGAGACGGGAAGGTCGAACAATCGATCTCTGGACCGCGGAAAGACTTACCCAGGGGTTCTAGAGCCCTCTCCTCAAGAGTCTTCTCCTCTCTGTGGCCTGACGCCATGGTGGTCAGCCGTTGTTGTGATGTTACAGATGATGGCTGTGACGGGGACCTGAGGGGGAATAGACACAGCTGCGAGACGCTCCGCCCTCACGGCTCGACTGCGGTGAAGTGACATACCTTGCTGCCCCACACGACCAGTGGGAGTCTGTTCACTTTCTCCGGGCGACAAAAAAGCACAAGTCAACTCCGTTCATGACAATGATGCGCCCCAATCCAAAACAATCCAAATGCAATGGTATGTCCTTGCCTGCCCAATCTACTCTGCCATCCTTAGCAGGACGGGGTTGCTGTGAGCGGAGGGTTGTTGCAGAGGACGATCTCGCCCAGATTGAAGCCGTTCTCAACCGCGCCTGGCTTCAGTCTGGACAGAAGCACCATCCGCATCCTTTCGTCGGTACTTTGGATTGGCGGCACTTGCGGCTCTGGAGGTCGACGGTTGGAGTCACTGTGTGTATGAATGTCCGCAACCAGAATTGGCAAGAACATATCGTGGTGGAAAGGGGGCAGTCTCGAGCCCAGACGCTAGGCCAAAACTATACTAGCGTTGACACGCCTACCACTGACACTCAGCCTCGCACGTGCGCAAACGAGGCTGTCGATCTATTGACACAGTAACTCATTTGGGAGGGGGAGCTAGGCCTCGGTGTCACGCAGCGGTAGATGGCAATCTGTTGACGTGTTCCTTCCGACGCATCAGGATACTGCCATTAAAGTCTGATAACTTGGATGTGCCAGAAGGAGGACACTACACCTGTCGCTCAGAATCCCATCCGCCTCCTCGGGACGACAGGCTTTTTGACTATGCCATTGCTGCCCGTCTTTCTCACCACGACGCTGCCACTCTTGGCCCTGCCAGCCAACAAGCGCTCTTTCTCCTCTTCTTCCCGTCGCCTTTTTTCTTCTTTCATTCGGTCTTCTCCCATCTGCCGTTCGATCTCCATTTTCCGGTTGAATTCACTCTCAATGATTCTCTTGTCCTTGGCACTGTACTCCTTCGACTTGAGACTGTAAAAAACACCACCAAGATCAGCGAGCCAATGTGGGTCCACAGCTGTAACGGAGCTCATGTATTCCTTGCTGGTCAGAATCAACTCGTGGTAGACGACGTAGTCAGGTGGGTCTCCAAGTCCGTACAGTGCCGAGGTAGGATGTAGCTGAACCGTGACGCTGGTCCGTAGGTTAATGTACTCTCCGACACCTCTCCGACGCGCAGCCTGGTGATAATATCCAGAGCAAATGCACTTTCGTATAACGTCCCAGTCCGTGCCACATGATACCAGCGCCATTTTCTGTTGGCTGACCATAATATCGTGGAGTTGCTCTCGGATCTCCTTCGCACGACGCAGTGCTTTTGGGTGCAGGAAGTGCCGCACGCACCAACCATCGCTATAGCCATTGCTCTTCCACTGGTTGTATACGTGCAACAACGTCAGGTGATCTGATTCGTGGACGAAGAACTTTTCCCTGGCTGCGTCCGACTCTTCCTGCCTCTCTTTCGGCCTGTAGAAGACAGACGGCACGGAGAGCATACTGACAATGGTAAGCATCTCCTCACTGCAATCGTACTCTGTTGATGATGTGATCAACATCTTGGCTAGAGAAGGATCCATAGGGAAAGCCGTCATCGCGCGCCCAATCGGTGTCAAATCACCAACATGGTCGAGGGCTCCCAGAGCCCACAGGTCGAACAGTGACGTGGTAATAGTATCCTGCGGAGGCGGATCCATAAAATCGAAATCGAGTAAGTCCTTGACACCAAGGGACTTGAGAAGTAGAACCGTGTTCGCCAGGTTAGTCCGTTGAATTTCGGGAATGGTTTGGATGTAGAACTCGTTCTTGAAAGCTTGCTCGGTATAGAGATGGAAAGCCTTGCCCGGCCCGGTTCGTCCTGCACGTCCGGCCCGTTGAGACGCATTCGCCTGAGAGATCGGAGTGATCTGAAGGGTGTCCATACCCATTTTCGGGTTGTAGACTTTCAATTTCGAAAACCCCGAGTCGACAACGTACATGATACCATCGACGGTCAGTGACGTCTCTGCGATGTTGGTGGCGACGACAACTTTCCGAACGCCAGGAGGAGCAGGATCGAAAATCTTAGCTTGGAGGTCTGCAGGCATTTGCGAGTATATCGGGAGCACCATAAGTTTTGGCGGATTGACAAGCAAGCGCAACCTTTCCTCGATCAACTCACAGGTGACTTCGATGTCCTCTTGACCGGTCATGAAGACGAGGATATCTCCAGCACCTTGAGACACGTGAATAGCCAGCACCTGTTTAACAGCACTATCGACATAGTCTTCATTTGGTGAGCGAGAGTACTGGATATCGACTGGAAAGGTGCGACCGGGAATGACAAATTCAGGAGCTCCGCCATAGAAGCGTGAGAAGCGCTCCGAATTCATCGTGGCGGACGTGACAATCAGCTTCAGATCTCTCCGGCGAGCAAGGACCTTCTTGATTAGGCCCATGAGCACGTCTGTATTGAGAGCACGTTCGTGAGCCTCGTCCATAATGATGCATGAGTATTTGTCTAGATCTCGCTGAGTCAGGGATTCTCTAAGCAGTACACCGTCGGTCATATCTATTGATGGTCAGTATGTCAATCCATCCGAGCAGAGGCAGGACTCACACTTGATGACCGTTTGATCGCTGGTGCAGTCCTCAAACCGAATAGCATATCCCACCACGCCGCCCAGGTCGACTTCCATTTCCTCACTGACTCGCTTGGCAACGCTCATTGCAGCGACTCTTCGAGGCTGCGTGCAACCAATCAAGCCGTGCTTACCGTAGCCTTCTTCATAGAGGAACTGGGTCAGCTGTGTCGTCTTCCCGGAGCCGGTTTGTCCGACCACGATAATGACCTGGTTGTCTCGAATGACACGCATCAGTTCTTCTCTGACAGCAAACGCGGGTAGATATTCTCTCTGCTCTTTCAGCGTCTTGCTCTTGCTGAATGCCGAGCTACCGGTATTCTTCTTGAGGTGTGTTGCAAATTTGCTTTTGCCCGTGTCCTCGCCGGGAACAGCAGCGGCACTGTCACCCTCGTCCTCTTTCACGCCCATAATGTTGCCCAGTGCCGTGCCAGCAACCTTGGTCGCTTCTTGCGCTTGCTTTTGTCGTTCCTTTTGCTGTCTCCTCTCGCGTACTACCTTACTTCCCTTGCGACTGAACACGGCCATATCGCTCTGTGGGTCCCGCACGGCCGGCACCGGTTCCAGTTGCTTGGTGAAAATAGTCTTGCCATCCAGAAATGGAGGTTTCAGCTCATGCACAAGGAGATGCACTCGTACCGCGTCGTCATCGTCGAAGTCTTGACCCTGATCACGCCTTTGCGCAATACCAGAGGTGAGCATGCGGTTGGCTTCCCAAGCATCCACTTCCTTCTGCTTCTGGGCTGCTTTCGCCGTCATACGCTTCCCGAGCTTCTTGTCTAATAAGGCCTGTTCCCGTTGTCTGTCTGCCCATGTAGCATCCGCACCACCGAAAGGATTGTGAGTCTCGTCCCCAAAGGTATGCCCAAACTCGTCTCCCGCGTACCAATCGCGGTCCATCGCTGCCGTGTCTTCATCATTAAAAAAGGGCTCAGAGCCTTCAAAGGTATTCTGTTGTGGCTTTGAGTGCCTGGAATGGCTGCGATCTCTGTCGGATGGTCTTGCGAGGCGACCTTTAGCAAACTGCGGCTTCAACGATGGTCCCAGATCTTCGGCGGAATCGGTCTTCGCGGAGTGGAAATCCCCGGCCAATTTGCGCCGCTTCGGGCTATGGCTGCGTTCCATCTCGGGAGGCAGCAGTATGGGATTGAGGTGAGCCGTGGAGTGGACGATGTGAGCGATGGTCAACCGCAACATGGAGGTTTCCGACGTAGAAAAAGTTATACCGGAGTTTATGCGTGTCGCAGCACAAATCTCCCCTCCACCCCAGACGCAAGTCTTACAGATTCGGTCAATCGCAGTCTATCAAAATGGCGTCTGGACAAGAAGCTGCCCTTCGGAAGCAGCAAGGTGTGTCTAAACAACCCTAGCCTTAGGTTTAATCGTGCTAAGAACATGCCAGACTTGCAGTCACAGTACTCCAACTATAAGAACACGCTCCAGTCGCTGGCACAGAAGGTGGGCGAAATCGAACAAGAAATAGAAGAACACAAGTCAGTTGCGCATCGGCGACAACGAAATGAGCGGCCAAACTGACCGTTAGTGGTCAACAGGCTTGTGATGGAAACACTCGAGCCCCTTCCTCAGGATCGCAAATGCTTCCGCCTAATCAACGGGGTGCTGGTTGAGAGGACCGTGAAAGACGTCTCGCCAGCGCTCAAGACCAACTCAGATGGGCTAAAGCAGGTCCTCGAGGAGTTGCTCAAACAATACAAAGCCAAGCAAGATGAAATGGACAAGTGGAAGGTAAGTCTCGTCTCAGCTGGTATCTGGTGAACAAGTGCTCACATGAAAACACAGAGGAAAAACAACATCCAGGTTGTGCAGAACCAGTGAACGCCGTCGACGTAGTGTCTCTAGACAGATTTGAGCCAGTGTAAAAGGGATGACATTAGAACGGGTGCTCGCCGCTCTGACGCGCCATGGGCCTTAATTATCTTGCGAGCAGAAAGGGCAAAGCAAGGCATTAGCAGTAGCTTTGAACTTCAACTGGGAGCCGACCGCATGTCTGAAGGCAACAGCAGCCTGTGATTAGGTGGTCAGACCGCCCTGACGTTCAACTCACAATCAGCTCATTCTGTAAGTCAAATTGTTGCACAGTCGCTTTCCCTTCAATTCTGCGTCACTTGTTCGGCTGACTCTTGATCTGGCCTCAGTCCATGGTTGGCCGCCTCCTCATCACTGAACACCATCAACCATGGCTCCTTCTCGCGCTGGCTGGCAAGCGCCAAGCAGGGACACTTGCTTCAATCAACGCGCCGGCGCTCATTCTCAGACAGTCTTTGCAGCTCCACCGCTTCCCGCGCGCCCTGTCCTCTTCTGTTGCCCCGTCGCAGAGAACAACCCAGCCCACTTGCCGCGTAGTTTTGTCAACCCTGGCCGGCATGTGATGAACAAGCAGCTTCGGTCGTTTCTCGACTGCGCTGACGACGCAGAGCTCACCTTGCCAAAGTGTGAAGTCTCGCATATGATCGAGGTGACCACGAGGGCCCTGCACACTCCACCTGTCATTGGTCGACCGATCGAACAGCAATGGAACCTGCCAGCCAAGCACGATGACAAACCTTTGAACAACTATACTCCTCCTCTTGAGGGGGACAGCAACATGTCGGTGGATGGCGACGATTGTTCGGAGACGGAAATCCCGCGAAGTACTTGGCAGAGCATGTCGACGAGATATTTCATCACTCAGCCTAGCAATGATGAATGGCAGCTCCCACCAAATTCCAAAGCGTACCGCGAGCACCACCCAGAGCCTCGACCGACCAGGGCCGTACAAGAAAGATACATGGAAATTCCGCCGTTCCACAACTGGCCATTCACTTCAGAGAGCATCCCAGGAGGCAACTCTGGACCAGCGGGCGCTCGACCGTGGATGCCAGCATGCTCAATTGTGATGTGGTGCCCGAAACACAACAATTTCTACGAAGTGCATGCGATGTCTTGAGCTATGTGGAAGTCAAGGCACGGATACTTACATATCTAGAGGAGGACGGCATCGTGCACTATGCTTTCCTGGCTTCGGAGTAGCTCATTGGCATGGATTTCTTGCTGCCAATGCCAAGTGGTCCAACTCCGGGCCACCCAAAGTACCACAGTCACAGCATGCATGTATGTTAGCTAGCCTGGAGCACCCCGAAATGATGATTGAATCGCACACCGAGAGCCTGCGAAAGCAAGACCATTGTAGAACTTGTCTTGAAAATGGCGTGCTGCTTCCTGCATCCTCCATCTGTATGTGGTTGGGCGTGTGAGGCGGATTCGTCTGATTACGAGATTAACAGAGTTAGGGAGGAGGTTAACCTTGCAATGTCCGTGACGCCGGCTTTTATATAGCTGCAAGGCTAATGCAATTTGGCTCATTCTACTGGGAGCGTCTGAGGAGGGAGGCGTCGAACCACTGTGCCCAGTCCCGATCGAGCAAAGCAGGATAGGCGGGAGCTACCTTTGACCGGTCTTCCAACGTCGGACAAAAAGATCCGTGCGCCGACTGGGCCACCACAGTACCTAATGTGGACACGGTAGGTACTGGGTACGGAGTACGAGTTTTGCGGACAAGTATCAAGAAGCCCGTGAACCGCGCTTGCCTGCGGAGTCTCTTTTTATTTGCGCCGGTGGTGCCGGTACCCCTCTGCTGTGTTGCGCCTGCCTGCTTCGTCCATCGTAAGAAATGCGAGGATACACAGTATCATACACTGAGCACAAGATCTGCGCCGATAGACCCTCTAGTCCTCCCCAGCCCACAGTCTGACCAAAATAACTTGAACACCAGCACATCCTTACCAAAATGCATCCATTTAAAGTCTGCACAAATAACTCTGCATTATTATGCATCTATTTATATTATGGAGGCATATGCTCAGGCTTGAACAACAGTGCATGCTGGTGTTCCAGTTATTTCGATCAGTCTGTGCCAGCCGTTCCAGCTCGCCAGGACTCTTGCATGTCGATCGATGGGTAGCTGCGGCGTCGTATCGATACCGGAGCATGGGAGCAAGGGCAACTCATACACCTTTCTCGATCTGGCGTAGCATAGCAGGTACGCACAACGTACTGGGTACCTCAGCCACCACCAGTAACTGTCAATTTCAGGCTAAGTCCTCCGCGCTCCGTACTGGGTAGCGTCCTTGCTTTTTGCGACCGAGGTACCGGGTACGTACACAGCTCTGGGTATTCTCCCAAAGCATAATCATGGACAAATTCGTGTGCCCGACTTGGGGCCAAGTTTAGCCAGCTCTTGAGAGGGCCACCAGCCTTCCTGTGCTTAAGCTAGTCTCGAACACTTCCCGCTAGCAGGTCGATACTACTGAGGTCAGAACCCCGATCCACTCTGGCACCGGCCTCTGCTCGTGCCTGCTCCATACTGCGTACTGAATAGATAAAATCTAACCGGGGTAAGAGAACTTCATCACAAGAGACATCTATGCGCACTGCCGTCCTGCAGCTGGCCTGCGAACCGCGATGCGATCTTTGGAACAGCGCTAGGCGTGCCGAGGAGGCGACCAACCGGGCTGGCTCCTTGACCCATTGGGGTTTCAGAGCTGTTCCGCGCCACGTTGAGCGCGAACAGGGATAGAAAGCACTAGGCTCAATGGTGACTGGCGCTTGAAGCACCAGAAGCAAATCGGCTTCGGCCAACTGCGTCACCAAGAGCCTTCTCAAACCTTTTCCACCGTGACTGGTTGGGGTTCACTTCCCGGTTCTTCGTGAGGGGTCTCCAGGGTCGCCCAGTTGTCCTCTGTCTCGGAAGCATGGGAAAGCAAGATTTGAAGCCAAATGAGGCTCGATTGAAGTGTTCCAGCAGTCGTTGCTTGAAGCTGTGTGGCCGAAATATTCCCTCAGGCGCACGTCAACATCGTCCTGAGTCTGCTCAGTTCACTGGGCACAACTGGGTCTGTTCGGTCGCATTATCCCAAATCCATAGCTCCACCTGCGTGGCCCGTCCCAGAGCGCATCCACAAGCTTCTGCAAGAGCTTGCGGACTGCGAACGCCACTCGCAGAACTGTTACGAGCTGTGCCGAGTCAAGAGATCTGCGTTTGACCAACGACCGTCTTTGCCTCGAGCACACAGTTCTGGAACTTCTCGATTCCACCTGCAGCTTTGCCACCCATTTCCTTCAACAGCTTCTCGAGATCTATAACCATGGCCGACTGAGGTGTGCCCGATCTGTGTGCAGGAGGGTCTGCCCGCCTCTTTGCGCCAGGCGCTTCAGTTGATTCCGTCTCGACGCCACGCGGCAACTGGCATCATCTTTGGTCCGCTCAAACCTCAATCGGTCGCTTGGCCTCTCTAGGCGCGCTCAATATTTTCCTGGCCTACCATCCTAGCCGACCTCAACTTCTTCCACACACTTGCTGTCTTCACGTTCGTTCGAGAACTCGGGTCTTTGAGGCGTGGCATTGCGATCTTGTCCGTCGAGAATTCAATCTGTGAATCGCGGGGCCTGCAATCTCTCCCTTCACCTGTCATTCGTTTCCATCTCTCGTACAGCTTCACGTACTCAAATCATCAACCGGAGAAGAACGTCATTCATTTGGTCAAGTTACTTTGCAGGAAATCCGGGTGGTCATCTCTTGCGATCCGAAACAGGCTGCGGGTCCAAGGCAGCCCAGAAGCAGAGTGAAGTGGCGGTAAAGTGAAGTTGAACAGGGCAGTCTTTGGCAACTTCTTTCTCAGCTGTTAGATAAGAGGACCGCAATCTCTTGCTTTCTGCCAAGTGAGTGCTCACCATCAACCTTTGACTCGTCATCCTCATTAAGTTTCCGAACGACTGACGCTTCAAAGACGCCAAAATGTATGCCATTACTATTGTGGCCTTCTGGATCACGGCACTTCTCGGCAAGGCATCCGCAAATCCCATCGTCAGAAAGTCACTCAACCCCGACTACCTCAAGCCCAGATCACCTCTCACCAATGCTGCCTTTGCGGCGAGCGCCGATGCCTGGCCAACCAACGTCGTGTTCGTTGGAGGAAGTCAATCTTATGGGATGTGGGTTCCCTCCGACGGTTCTTGGTACGACCTAGGGAATATTGAATGTCTCGGGCTACCTGCGAATGCAATCGGCGACTGCAACGATGTGACTATCAATCAGATCGGAGTGGTTGCGGGATACGGACCCTGCAGATTTGTCGGCAGCGCTGGTTACTCTGCAACCATTCCGGGTAATCCTGGTGACGGTTACTACACGGTCGGACCCCCGCAGAATATCCTGTCAGCAGCTTGTGGTCCCGCATGATCTGCTTGAGACGTCAACGGCTCCTCGAACATGATTCCCCGGCAACGTGATGCGCACACGAGGTACGAAGAGCAACTATTGTTTGAGTAAACGACTTTCTTCGAGCAAGCGCCGCCCCGCTTCTACACGATGCCACTGCCAACACCCGCGCTTCATTTCAACGTCTTTGGGGCCATTGAAACAACAATTTGTACCACTCCGACTCTGCTCGCGTCTTGATGGCGAGCCCACTGAGATGGAAACTGCCCGCACAGGACTGCCGGGGCAATGGGCTTCCAGAAGATGAAAGGAACCGTCTCGAAGCAGGGAATACATGCCGGATCTCACCACGAGCTCGCAGATCATTACACCTTCGATAAGACAGATTTGATACCCAAGTTCAATTCCATGAAGTTAACCCTTGTCGAATCCCCCTTCCGATCTTGATTTATGGCTTGCAATTTGACCCGTTCTGACAACTCATAATACGTGACGAACAGGTCCACGTCCTTAGGGGTTGCAGGGTCAACGACTCCTAGAATGAGTCTCTGAGTGTAGGCCACGCATGACGTCCACCCGCTCGGACCTGCCGGATCTGCCATTTGCTCGACCGCTCTGACCTGTCGAACTAATAGCTCCATGGTTCACTGGCTGGAATCTACTTCTTGAAGTCGCATAGTTTGTCGAAGGTTCTTCGCGTGAGGATAGTTTCGCCAGCGGCGAAGTCCTGCTCAGGACAATGAGGCATTCCACAGGAAGAATATCCGGCGAAACAGGCACAATAATCACGACGCGCATTCAATTGCGTAATTTACAATCGACTTGTTGACGGGGCCTGGGGCACAGAGTTTGTAGCCGGCCAGTAACTGAACTGGGATCGATCTGGAGGATGCTCATTATCTGTTGTACGTGGTCCAGCTTCGCGCCGACGGCTAGACTTCGTTCTTCCACGCTCCCCGACACAGATGAGGAAGCTTAGCCGACCGATGGACGGTGCCGCCGCTTTTTGAACTCGTCACGTGCTCGCTCATTTAAAGCTCACTCCGTCCCAGTGAATTCTCACTTACAGTACTCCGTACTCCGTACAGAGTACAATTAATTCCCCTCAACTGAATATAAATGCCAACTCGAATTTATCGAGCCCCCACGCAGGTCTTCCACCCACGCCGTGAAGACCACCCCCTGCATCGGCACAAGATGCCATCTTGACGCCTCGCTAGTCACAATGACCAATCGCGGACCGATTATCTGAGGTCACGCAATCCAAAAAGAGTGCAGAACCTGCTTCCAGCTGATGTCGCCGACATGTCACCATTTACCAGTGAGCGTGGTGAACGTATCTCTGAACATATCCACCAATGTTCCGAAAACTTCAAGATTCTCTCCTTCGATCACACCTCAGTGTTGCGAGCGTGAGGACCAATGGACGAGACGGAATCAAACGAGTATCATCATCTCCTCAAGCGATATTCCCAGCGGTCCAATAACACCGCATCCACATCTCCGTCTGAAGATCGCGGCACAACGCCAGAGTCAAAACCTAGAAACATGTCCTTCTTGCGAGGCCAACGCTGGTCAGGAGGCCCATCGACGCACTTGCCGAGATATTTCCCATTCCTCAGATGGATCAGGGAGTACAGATGGGAATGGTTTACAGGGGACCTCATCGGCTCCTTGACCGTAGCATCCCTATATGTCCCGTTGTCTGTATCTTTCGCCCTTCTGGGCCATGCTCATCCGATCAGTGGCCTCTACTCATTTGTCATCAACCCGCTTCTTTATGCGCTCCTGGGTACTTGTTCTTTGATGGTGGTCGGGCCTGAAGCGCCGGGCTCTCTACTCGTAGGTACTGTTGTTGCGGCGTCAACCTCGGGCAGCAGCGACGACGAGAACAATCTTATCAGCGCACAAATAGCCGGCACCGTCACTGCGTGTACAGGAGCACTTCTGTTTGTCACAGGGCTGAGCCGGTTCGGGTACGTGGACTCTGTCCTCAGCCGACCTCTTATGCGTGGCGTCATTGGCGCCCTCGGGCTCAACGTTCTGATAGAACAAACAGTGACAGGACTGGGACTTGGAACGTTGGCAAGGGAAGACTCGCATGTCGCCGGAGGAAGCCCTGCGCAAAAACTCGTCTTCATCGTGACAAATGTAGGCCGAGCACATATGCTGACCTCCATTTTGTCAATCACAAGCTTTGTCGTTGTCATGACACTCCGGTAGGTATTGCTGCTCCCGTAAGACCTGAAAGCCTGCTAATGAAACGCAAAGCCACTTTAGGGATTCTCTAGAACGGAGATCCCGCGCAGTTGCATACATTCCAGACAGATTCGTCGTCGTCGCAACAGCGGGCGTGTTAACATGGTGGTTACAGTGGCACGAGCATGGTCTTCAGGTGCTTGGCCACATCCAAACACCGAAGACCGGTGCTTTGCCTTTCCATTGGCCCTTTAGTCTACAGCACGTCGAGATTTCGAGTCTCGTCATCACATCTTTTCTGGTTGCTTTGGTCGGACTATTCGAATCCTCCTTGACGGCTAAGAGCTTGCGAAAAGCAAGCGAGGGCAGAGCCGCCATTACCCTTCCCGCCAACGCGGATCAGGAGCTGATAGCACTCGGGGTTTCCAACATCATTGGTGGCAGCTTTCTTGCATTGCCTGCTTTCGGCGGGTACGGCAGGAGCAAGTTGAACTTCTCGACAGGTGGAAGAACGCCCATGAGCAATGTCCTGCTCAGCATCATGACTCTGTTCTGCATCCTCTTCCTTTTACCGGCATTCTACTACCTGCCCAGGGGAGTCCTCGCCGCCATGATTGCCGTGGTTGGGGTTTCTATGGTGGAAGAGTGTCCTCACGAGATCCTGTTCTTCGCGAAGATACGGGCATGGCCAGAGCTCGCTCTCATGGCAGTGGTCTCCGCGGCCACTGTATTTCACTCCGTCTCCCTGGGCATGGCGTTAGGCCTAGGCTGGTCGATCTTGTCACTGTTCATCATCGGAGGATGGCGCACAACCATTCGCATCCTTGACTCCCTTTCATCGGAAGTACCTGCCGATCCAGAATTCGCTCAGATTGCAACACCGTGTCCGACGCGGACAATCTTCGTCACCGTCTCTGGGCCATTGACATTCGTCAACACCAACAATCTCAAAGACCGCATCGACGCCCGGAGGCACGCCGATCCATCGGAGTCTCGTGTACACCGCTCGCATTCGTGGCCAGCCGCGACTGAAGAGACGGCTCTCATATTCGACATGCGCCACTGTACCAGAATCGACGGCTGCGCAATTCAAGTCCTTGCAGAGATCGCAGAAGAATATACAGTGGAAGAAAGTAATAGAATCATCATATGGGAACCGTTGCAGCTACATGGCAGGGATCCTATCCAACATAAACTTGCACAGAGTGGGACTTTAGATTTGTGCGGCCAAAATATCAGCTTTGTGACCAGCTTGGGCGAGATTCTGACGGAATTGAGGGCGGAGCGTCGCCCAGAGTCTCTTTTCGAATCAATGGACGTGTAAGAGACGGTGTGATGTTGTGGTGAAGAACCGTCGGCATCAAATCCTCCTGGCGAAAGCATAGAGGTCCCGAGCTCGCACATCAAGCGACCACTCATTTTAAGGGACAATACACCATTCGAGCTCGCATATTCAAGCGACCACTCACTTCCGCCAACAAACACGCCATCATCTCGCTCGGTCTCCAGGGTGGGAGGCGGACAGCGCACGCGATCAGATGACCTCTCAGCGACGAACTACAGTAGCGAAAGCCGTGCATGCCAGATGATGCCACCCCCGCCAGCGATGGACCTTTTTTTCTCGAGCCACTTCCGGCCCCGTCCATGGCTTCGATATCACATGGGCCTTTTCTTACGGCTCTCTTCTTGGCATACCGAATAGAACGACAGGTCGCCGCTGTGAGCCACTCTCTCGTGCTTAAAACGTGCAGTTTTGAACATCCCTCGCTCACCACCTTCGCCTCTGTGTGTGTGTGTGTGTGTGTGTGTGTGTGTGTGTGTGTGTGTGTGTGTGTGTGTGTGTGTGTGTGTGTGTGTGTGTATGTAGGATGTCAAGCAACGACACAATTAGCTCCTCCAGGATCATCGACTGAGAAGGAAATGAAATCCCTATCCGTCTATATATACCTCATCCCGTCACGCTCGACATTAGACCTGAGTGCGACTTATACATGCATGTATGCATGGACGCATGGGGTCCTTTTTGAATCAACGCGACGAGTAAGTGTTCGAAAAAAAAAAAAAATGATATGATCCAGCCTAAGTAGGGACCGCGAGGAGTTGCTGTCGCCGTCGCGTTCGTTCATTCGTGAGCTTATACTTACACTATCATCAATCCGTTGACTCGACAGTATGTATATAACATAGATACATACATACGTACTTACGTTCATACAACTGCACGTAAGTCAAGTGGTACCTTGATCTACCGCAATCCGCTCGGAAACCGCTCAAGGGCAGAAAAACATAGACGACATACACGCGAGACACCGTCCATCTACTGTACGTTGTCCTACTCTACCCTGCCCTACACCACCATATCCTACCCTAGCCTACCACGCCATCTCGACACCATCTCGACACCATCTCCACGCTAGCTCTCCCGTTCCTTCTTAACCTTCCTCTCCTCCTCGCGCACGACCTCCCCCACCACAATCCGACAGAGTCTCTCGCACAACTCCTCGGCCGTCCATCCCCACGTCACCTCCCTGGCAGTGGTAGGCCCTTCGCTCACCTTTCGCCCAGCATACCAACCCATGGAGAATTCGCACTCCTGCATGAACCGCTCCAACACCTCGACCTCGCCGTCACCGACCGTCCAGACGAACTCGCCCTTAATGAGTCCGTTCTTGGTCTCATCCACAATCATCTGCTTGCCGCGTAGGGCCCAGACTTCGTCGCGGATTTGATCGCGAGGCGGAGGATGGAATTTCGGGCGCAGCGACTTCCTATATATGATGTGCAGGGTGCGGAAGTGGGTATTTGTGAACTCGCCGGTTGTGGAGAGAGGTGTTCTAGTGCTGCGAAGGGGGTCCGATGGATAGGAGGGGGCGAGGAGGTAGGATGGTAGTGGAAGATGTGTCTGATCGATGTTGGGGACAGAGTGAGATGGTTTGGCAGAAGAAGGGATTGAGGATTTGGTTCGCTGCCATCCAGCCTCCGGGTGCTGGTCTTGGTGTGGTTGTTGGGTCGCTGCATTTTTTGAAGTTGTGTAGGACGCTGACGTTGGCTTTGACTTTGAATTTGGCGCATGGTCGGTCTTGCGTTGCCCTTCTGGCTGGGAAGAATTGTCGGGTTTTTGCTTCGAGCCCCAAATCCAACTGCCCCAGCCTTTATTGGGCTCCGTTGCTGGTGTTTCCGTCTGTGGCGGATTCTCCTGACTTGCTACGACTTGATGTCCTCCTTCCTCTATTTCAACCTCCTGTCGAAGAGGATGAGGCTGTGCAGGTTCAGCTTCTGCCGCGTGAAGCTCTTGCCTCAACTGCCTTCCAACCTCGTCCCCGAATGAAGTATCATCGCTTGAGGACCGCATGCTGAAACTGCTCTCTTGACCATCGACATCCACACCTCTGGATCTGCCACTAAAGATCACTCTTCTTATCATGGTCGGCGTGTCAGGCCGAGAGAAAGCCATGCTCTCTCGGGAGCCTTTCATAGCAGACCGTGGTGTCGGTGGACGGGGAGGAGATCCTGCCTCCTGCGCGTCAAAGGACGGCCGCTGCGTCGCTGAAGTCTGGCGCTCTGGCTGTGGCGTCGAAAAGGATATGGAAGAGTCGTTGAAATTCACGGGGATTTTGACGGGCTGTGGAGGCGAAGAGGTTACTACTGAAAGATCCGAGGTCCCGTCCGTCGATTTGTCGTTCTCGTACAGCTCCTCGTGCGTAAGTGAAACTGAGGGCTCTTCATGGTGACCGCCGCCAGAATCATCTCGAGGCTGCGCGTCGTGGTCGTCCTCATCGACACCATGGTCTCTTGATTCGTCGACACTTTCTTCCTCCACGGCGTCCTTCTTGGGCGTCCCGGCCATAAGATCGATGTCGAATTTTCCGCTGTTACTCCGCTGTCTCAATTGCTGCCGCTGGATTTGACTAGCTCCAAATCTCACATCGTTCTCAGGGCCTTGATAAGCCATAAGGCCGCTTGCTTCATCCATGTTCGTCGATAAGAATGCGCTTTGCTCGATGGGCACTTCGACATCTTCGCCTCTCTTCCACGGACTGGGGATCAAGCTCCTCCTAGGTCGATTGACTGTTTCCTTGGCCCGTTCCTGCTGCTTGCGCTGTTCGCTGCGAGTGAACAAGTCGTTAGTCCCTCCGCGCGGTGGGCTCGAAGAGCTCTTGGCCTCTGCTAGCCAGATGTCCGTCTCGTCCCCAGCTTCGTCATCCAAACGAGAACGGATGCCTGATTCCTCTCGTGGTCTTGTCGGCCGCTCTTCAACTTCACTGTCGCTATCGATGACTATGACCTGGCTTGTAGAAGCTTCTTGAATCTGTCTGGAAACAGCCTCCCTCTCAAGTTGCCATTCGCGTTCTCGCCTAGCTTGAGTGTCTAGAATGACCGGCTCTGATGGCGGAGAAGCTTTATTCTGCGGCGTCTGCGGCGCATTCTCCATGACTTGGGTGCTATTGAGGTTTGAATTGCTATGAGTTCCAGCGCCATTAGCCGGTGGTTCCTGGTGAGTTCGTCTGCTTTTGTCACCGATACGTGACTCAACTCTCTCGTGGGTTGATGATCTGTCCGATCCTGTATTTGTCTTTTCTCGACTTACAGAGGCGGTTGATTGAGCTGGCAATTCTGGTACCTGTCTCTTTGCAAGCTCTTCGCCGAAGCGAAGGCCGGCTCTGAGCTCGCGTTGAGTACCGGAGTCGAAGCCGTTGAACAAAGCATCCTGACCATGCGAGGTTGGTGGTTGCGAAGTCAGGATGTTCTCGTGTGGTAGCGCTTTCTCAGTGCTGGGGCCGGGTGACATGATTTCCTGCAATGCAATACCCGCAAAAAGAGCGCCGGCTGATGCCCGATGCTGGTGTTGTGGTGTTCGTCGAGGTTGGTGTTTTGGTGGTGACACATGCTTGGGAGATGAACACGGCTGTGGCGTTACTTTCCGCATGAGACCAGGTCTCGATGAAGACGAGGCCTTAAGCAGGCTCCCGTTCTGCTCGGACGTGGGTGGCGATGAGGGTACAGTGCTCGATATGTCACTTTCATCCACTCTCAAGGCGGGATAGGCCACTGCCTGCTCAGGTATTGGTGATAAGGAAGCCCTGATGTCGTTCTTGGTCGGCGGCGCCGGATGTCCCATAGTTGTCAAACTGTGCATTTGTGCCGTACCCGAACCTGCAGCCACTCCCTCTTCCGATGGACTGCTGAGGTATCGCTTCACTGAAGGCAAGGTGTCCAAATCAATCATCGTGAAACCTTCGCTCTCTAGCATTGTGTCAAAACCTTCACTTCCATGATTTGCAGCAGGCTCCTCCCCAAGAGATTTTTCAACCTCATCAGAGTCCCCATGATAGGAGGAAGTAGGTGAGGGAGTCGGATAGCTCATCGCGCTGTTAGCGGATACTTTCCGTGCTTGCAATTGAGCCTGGTGGGCGGAGATTTTGATCCTCGCGTTGGCAATTGAATCCTGCCCGGTACGGCCTTCATTGTAGCTGGAACTCGTTGACACGCCGCGTGGTCGGACAAGCGCCTGATGCAGCTCAAGCTTCTCAGGCATTGCTGCCTCGCTTCCCCATGCGGGACCTGGCTCGCCAGTCGCGTCTCCGCCCTCGACATCGGTATCCGGTCTAAGATCAGATTGTGCGTTGTTTGACTTTGACTTCGATGAGGTTGACTGTGCTCCAGTATCCGCCACTGTAGCATATTTTCGAGGGCTTCGTCTTTTGCGCGGCGACTTCTTCTGCTTCAGCCAGTCGTCCCTTTCAGAATCGTCTCCCAACGGTATTATGTCCAAGTCTGTCACACTCTGTCTCCGGCTCCGACTGGAATTTCGCCCTGTACGCTCAGGAGTTGCGCCCCTCTTAGTATTTGCATGCGGTTTTCTTCCTCGAGCCGGACTCTTCGCATCGTCTGTTGGGGATGGGTTGTTCTGCAACGATATCTTCGTGGTCCGCCTTCTCGCTCTGGTCATTGGATTGTTTCCCTCCATGTCTGCGTTCTCTGGCTCCGCTTCCACTGTCACTCGAATCTTCCAAGGGCTCAGGTGCTGTTCTGAGACGGCGCAAAACGGTGACGATGGGAATGGTTCGTTACTTTGAGAGCTCGATTTGGTGTGCCTGGCTACATTCTTTATGGTGACAATTGATGGTCGTTGGGGCGCAGGCTTCCGACTTGCACAGGCGCCAATGCCAATGTTGTGCTCATCATTGAGAGAAGTTGCGAGTGGATCAGGTGAGCTCAGGTCGTCGCGGTATTGAGAGGCAATCGATGGTGACCGCAGCATTGTAGCGGTACGGGCCAGGGCAGCCGACGGTGGATTAGGCTGGTATGCGCGATCAACCTCGTGATGGTCCGCGCCTTGACCACAACAACATGGGCCTATTCAAACCATACACAAGATAAAATTCGACGTGTTAATCCCCTGCGGCGATAGGTTCAATACAGGTTAGCTCGACAGAGTAATCGTTCACTAGCTGTCTAACGATGCTTCTGGACTTTGTCTAGAGGATTTGGGAAGGACTTGTTTGTTTACTATATGACGTCGAACACAGAGCCTCTGATTGGCTGCGGGACAGAAGAATTCAGCCTCGCAGCCTCGTCCGCCAGTCGCGTCTCACGCTTTTCTCTTCTCAAAATGTCGAGAAGTCATATGTCGCGTAGTTCACGGCCGGCCCTGTTGTAGGCCCGAAAATCTCATCCTGGCCAACTCCCCACTCCGGATGGTTGATGCCATCGATCCACGCCTGGGTTTCTATCACAATACATCCATGCTTGTTGACAAATCTGGCTGCCCCTTGTGTGCCATTGTTCCTTGTCTGCTGACTCGCCTTGACTGGTATGGTGCCGTTCTGGCCATTGCATGTATATATCTGCAGCCCTCGTTGGTTGGTCGACACGTCCAACTGGATGCCCGTCGTTTCCGACCACAAGCGGAGCACGGGGAAATTTGAGGCCGCAGGACCTGCATTTGCTGGTCTGTCGAGAATAAAGGCGTTGTCGATGCCAGTGCAGCCTGCTCCGCACACACCAGCAGCATCGTCAACAGCATCTCCTAGGAGCTTCGGCGACAGGAAGTCCAAGGCCGAGACGTTCGTAACGGAGCCCAGGTCGCCAGTAGGGATTAGGATCGAATCGACAGCAATGTATCGATCCGAGTAGGGCATCCACAGGGTGGTATCATTCAAGATAGTGGCTTGCTTGAACGCGTTGAGATTCCAGTAAATGTGGTTCGCCAGCATAATGGGTGTGTCTTGGTCGAGGGCTGTGGACACTATACTGCTTGTCAATCTCGGCCTGATTTCACCTTGAGGGCCACTTGCTGCACTGCCCAGCGTGTAAGTTGCAATGGTCAGCACCGTCCCCGGGAATCCCTGGAAGCCGGTGTCGAGCAGGCTGAAGGTGATGCTGGATGGTGACGAAGCCACAACGGTCCAGTTTCGCTGGTCATATCCAACCGTGCCACCGTGCAGCGTGTCCGCACCAGCGTTTTCATTCGCGGGGATGTGGTAACTCTGTCCATTCAGCGTGAAGGTGCTGTTCTTGATGCGATTTGCAAATCTTCCCACAATCGGGCCAAAATAGGTATGATTTGCTGCCTCGTCGTTAGCCGGAAGAAAGCCAAAGTCAGGATTGGGATTTCCTTCAAGGGACTCACTCTGGCTATCAGTCAGATACTGTGTAGCATTGTCATAGCCGACGACCACATCCTGGTAATTGCCGTCGCGATCTTGTACCAGAAGAGATGTCAGGCTTGCTCCATACGGGATGAGCTTAGCAGTGATGTTCTCGGCGGTCAGTGTATACACGGAGAAAGGATAAGCGCCAGTAGGGACAGAGGTGTTTGTGCTATTCTGACAGAAGCCCGGCAAGACGAGGACAGATGCTAGGACATAGAGTGGCGACCACATATTGAGATGCGTTCTTCGGGCCCGTGGTCTGTCGAGAGCTTCGGGAGATGGGAGGACATCAAGTAGCTGAACGTGCGCGAGGAGGAGGTATTATATCTTGCCAGAGTCGAGCATTTGCAGGTCCGCTCCGGGACCGGCTACATGGGCACAGTTACATTGACATGCCACCGCTGTCCACAAAGCACGGTGGTGCGGCGTGGCGAGATGATGCTACAGTGGAGCTTCGAGGCCTAAATCCCCGTACCAGCCTCAGCAGCTGGAGCAGGGCAGAAGCTTGAATAATGCGGGGAGCTGCACACACGGTGCAAGCGAGGTGAAAAGGGGACTGTGACGCTGTCAATCTCACCGAATCTGGGGAAGATTGATGGCTCCATTCAATAACCGTTGCCGGAGCCCATCTTCTCATTGGCCTTTGCCCTGTGCTTCGGTTCATCGCCGGCCGGGCGTCCCACGCTTCTAGTATTACATGTCGGCCACCGGCATCTTTCCTGCTTGAGTGTCATGGGCCTTTTCGTCGCGGAGCGTGCTCTCCTCACATAGCTTGCCTAGGCTACAACATGCTTCCGATGAGGAGCTACGTGCATTGCAAAGTCAGCGCTGGTGGTTCTCATCATGTTCTGTGGTCATCATACGCCGGTGGCCTTCCGCGGATCCACGTCCACCAGATGAACATCGAGATACACTGGCCAGTCCGGCGCCAGATTGCTTCTCGACTCTGACAAGGGTTTGAGGGCTTCCTCAACTGCCCTCCTGTCCAGCTGCCCCTTTGGCTGGTTCTCAGACTGGGTGATCTTGAATAGATCTTCTTCGAGCTCTTCGGCCATCAACCGACTCGGTTGGGGCAGGAACGTGCCTTGCCTTCCTTGATGCGTGTGCAAGGTTGCGTATGGCAGCGCCGGACGTGTTGCGGCTTTCTCTGCAAGCTCGCTCAAGGCATTCAGGCCACTTATACCACCGATCGTGCGAGTTGACCGGGTCACATGCACATTCTGACTGGCCGACCTGTCCATCTCAGGTGCGTCTAGTTCCTCGTCCTCCTCAGACGCTGAACCGTCAGAGCCTCGTGATTGGTCGTCATCCACCTTGTGTCGATTGCGCGCATTGCCCGTCTCACCTTCCTTGCGGGAGGTTGAGAAGAAGTGTCGAGCCGCGATCTGCGCCTGATGTGACTGAAAGTTCAGCTCTTTCTCTGTGAAAAGTGTGTGGATAGAGTAGAGAGGGGCGGTCTGGTTTGACAATGCAGCTCGGCCACGCTCTCCAGGCGTGGAAATGCCATTCCGGGACGGAGAGCCGACATCGTCATCTGCGAGCTTTCGCTTCCGTTTATTCGTGACTTCTCCAACGCCATTCATGTCTTCCTGCTCGCGATGGCGGGTGAAGCGTGTCTTGCGACTGGTGTGGTTGCCCCCAGGACTCGCAGGGTTGGTGATGCTGAACTGACTAGGGTGGAGGAGGAGCGCATTGGTATCTGCAATGTCGAGTTGTTCTTTCTCTTTCATCAGGCGTTGTCTCTTGCTCGATAGCGCTTGGAACAGCCGCTCTCGGAGGGTGGAGGTCATTTGCTCGCATTCTTCGGCGGCTAGGTGGAGACGATAGTCACATTCGTACTTGAGTCTTTCGAGGCGCTTGTTGTGATTGTTCTGCCGCGGACGTTAGAGGAAGATCCAGGCCACGCTGAACAAGAATGTCCTACCATGAGTTGTATGAGTGCAACTTCCTTGGCGATCTTTGCATCACTAATCTCGTGCACAAACTCGGCGTACCACTTTCCAGCCAAAGATGACATTTGAGACTGGTATGGCGTGCTGGACGCCGTCAACTCCGTTATCTTATTTATCTCTTCTGGTGAGTCCTCCAGTGGTTCGGGCTCGTAAGGGTCGGTTTGTGAGATGAGGCTCATGTCATGTTGCAGGGCGATCAGTTGCTCCCGGTAGTGTTGCTCCCGGTTCGAGGACAGTTCATTGTACAATTCTTGCTGATGCGCCACATGCTGGTTCCGGCGTTTGTCCCGCTTCGACAAGGGTTGTGCTGGAGGGGTGGGTGACTGTCGTTGGGGGTATGCGCTGCCATCAGGCCCGCCTAAGGGGGATGTCGGGGACGGCGAGTACGCCATCTGGAGTGAGAAGAGCGCAGTCGAAGTGTCGCTTCGTATGCGAATGCTGGCAAGGAAGAAGAAGTGCCTGTGGGTAGAAACCGCACCTCTAGTAGAACCAAAGTCGACAGGAGAGTTGCTACCTCGCGACCTTTGTTGGCCGCATCGTCACTGACCATTGACAGCCCAAAATGGCAATAGAGCCGAGTGCAAATTCACCAAACATGCCTTGCCAATTTTGGACGGTGGGAGAAGCCGGCGACAGCGAGATCGTGTCACTCGACCATCACAGTATCGAAGGCGCTGACATGCTGACTCGTGTCACCATAGCTCGCCGCATACAGCACTGAACCGCGCTCAGCTCTTCTCCACGCTCATCAAGTCTTGGCATTGTGGTTGCCCCTGAATCAAGGACTTCAATCACATCAAGTCTGGTCCATCCAACCTGTTCATCCAATTCAACATGGGTGCTTGGGTGAAATGGCCTTGCACTCGATCGGGCATTGCCGACTCTGAATCTACTCTTGATGCCCCCCGGCGGCCCCGTCAAAATCCATTCTTAGGGAGCTTGCCGCCCCCTCCCACCATGCACAGTAAGAGACGATGCGCCAATCAGCAGACATTGTCCAGCCCAAGTCCACCGCCTCCCCACCGTTTGTGCCTGGCTAAGGAGTCGGCTACTCCGCCGTATGCCCCTCCACAACTTGACCCGTTCATGCCCGTTGTAGACAACACTATCATCCTCTACGCCTCCTTCTTGCTCAGCGATTCCTGCAGGAACGAAGATCTCCAAGTCTTACCGCTCGCTTCAAGATCAAAAGACAGTGCAAAGCCTGCCTACCAACCCGCACCTACAAGTGACTCCCTCGAAATTCGAGTGATCATTAGTAGAGCCTGAGTGTACCGCTACATAAGCAAGGAAGAAGATTGGTCTGAGCCACCCATTTCGAGGACTGCCGAGACGCGAGCATAACCATGAGTCCAACCGTCATCCACTCCGTCGACTTGTTCGACGGCCATAGCACACATTCGAACGCAACTGTCGTCTTTGATTCGGAAAGCGGCACGATCACGTCCGTCTCGACCGGCTCTAGCCATGCTCAACACCCATCAGGTGCCACTGTCATCGACGGCAAAGGCCATACTTTGCTTCCAGGCTTGATTGAGTCACACATGCATTGTCACGGGCTGCATTTACCGCCGGGCGGAAGCATGAAAGACATCTTAAGATCACCTTTGAAGAGCGGCGTTACCACTGTCTGCGACATGCATTCCGACCTGGATTCTGTCAACACTCACAGAAGTGCGATCGCCGATGAACTCGAGAAGGCCAAGACTGGAGGCACAGTCACACTATCTGATCTCAAGAGCTCGCTGCTGGGTGCCACGATCGAAGGCGGGTGGCCCAAGCCGATTGTCCTCAGCGGTCACCCAACGGAAGAAGTGAGTGCAATGCAGCTTCTGCTCGCTCCCTCCATCGCAGGAAGGTTCATTATGCAGTCCCTGATCTGACGGCTTGCAGGTCATCGAACTGGTCAAGAAGTGGCCTAATCTGACGCCGGAGAATGCAGCGGAATATGTCAAGAACCAAAAAGCCAATGGAGCGAACTACATCAAGTTGATGCAGGAGAATTGCTGTTCGCTTGCTATTCCTACGAATTCGGTCCCCGTAGCCACGCTCGAGCTTCAAACCGCTGTTGTCAAGGCTGCGCACGATCATGGTCTCCCTTGCGTTGGACATGCTTTGAGCGTGGATATGACTGAGGTCATCCTCAATTCCGGAGCCGACGGTCTTACCCACACCTTTGTTGACCAGCCCCCGCCACAAAGCATCATCGACCTCTACAAGAAGACCGGTGCATTTGTCATCCCGACCTTGACAGTACTAGCAAGTCTGACAGCTGAGCTGCAGGACTGGAGAGACAGATTTGCAGAGATTGCGCACAAGAAAGGGATCGTCGACGACTTCGCCAAGCAAAACATGAAAGATCTTCTCGGCATGAAGGATCCGGCTGCTAAGCTGGACTATGCCTTTCAGACGATCAGGAAGCTGAAGGAAGAAGGCATCGATGTTGTTGCGGGGACTGATGCCGTGGCTGGCCTGAAGGGAACGGGTATTGGGCCGAGCCTGTGGATGGAGCTGGAATTGTACGTTGAGAAATGTGGCTTTACTGTCACAGAGGCCCTTCGGGCGGCCACGGCGGTGCCAGCCAAGAGATTCGGATTCAATGATCGCGGAGAAGTAGCAGAAGGCAAACGGGCTGATCTTGTCCTCGTGAAGGGCGACGTCGCGAAGAGACTGCAGAGTCTGTGGGAAGGCGAAGGCATTGTCGGAGTTTGGAAGGAGGGTTTCAAGGCTGCTTGACCGCTCTTGCCAAAAGAGGATGAGGCCCTGAAGCTCTTCCCTTTACCTTTTGTTTGTCTCACACGAACCTCAAACAGATCTCAAATCTTGTTCACCTCCGGCTCGTTTTCCACTACATGGGGTTCTCATACACTGGCTTGCCCTCTCCATCAGACCCAGTAATCTGAGCAGGTTGAAAGGTCTACGACTCTGAAGGACGATTTGCAAGACAAGACGCGGTAGCCGAAATGACTATACAGATTGCTGAGTCGTCGACACTGCGTTACGTCGAGCACCAACACAAATTATCCCCCGGTCATCTTCTTGCTTTGCATCTCGGCAGTGCTTCACCTGCTACGGTGTATCTGATTTGTGCTACTGTGGAAATCGCCTAACCAACAAGCAATACTGAGGCGCATCCGTACACTTTCCCCGCGATTCATTGTCCATGTCATAACCGTTGACAGAATGCTCCGGCCCGTTCCAAGCAAGCAGACAACGCAGCGTTTCCTCGAGAACATACGAGAGAATCGAAATATCGAACCATGTTCGGACTCACTCATCAATAGTCAATGCCGTTGAGACGCACTGGGGGCAGCACTCTTGGTGAACGTGAACGAAGCGGCTTCGGGGCATCAAGCTTATGACATTCAGCGGATGTTATCCAGTGTTGATGCTCAAAATAGCGCTGCCTTGGTTACGCTGCATTTACTGTCATTGCGCCGGGCTCGCCGTAATATGGTATGTTATTGTTTAGCACAAGGCAGTGATCTTCACCTTCGAGGCCATTACTGCCAATATCTGTCGCGTCGCATCCTTACTTGTTTCGATCGACCATTTCTTTCCCAGACATGAACTTCCCCAAACACAAACTCTCCTACTGAATGTGCCAGTACTATCGTGTGATTTCAAAATGTCCAAATCCTTGGGCAGACGATTTCTCAAGGCAATCCGTCGCACGATCACTGCCCCTTTAAAGGGTCGCCTGGTCAACAAGCGCGGAAAGGGTTTCCAGCCAGCTCACGAAGACAAGCCTTCAGCGACGCTTCGGAATCATGTGCCACTGCCACAAAATGGCTCAAACTCTGAGAAGCAGGCGGCGAAGGTGAACGACTGCGGCCCAACGATACACAATCCAAAAAAAGCTTCAGATACATACAATGTTGTCCTCGACAATGGAGACCGGATCCATGTGCCACCTGTTGACACTTATGTGGCAGACCGTCGTCAAACTTTGCATGACCAAGGGGACAGGCCCCAACCGGCACCGGTTCCAAAAGACTCTCAACAGCAACACCGTCCGACCAAAACAGCTTCAGACCTTCACCGGGAGCGGCTCTCATCTGCGAATACCACATTGGATATCAGCCAAACGGCGCGGGCGACCTCAAATAAGGCGCCAGCTGCGGCTGTGGATAACTCATTGGAGCGAGAGCAAGACACCCACCTGACGTGTGCTGCCGCAGTTGAGGAAGGTCACAACAGGAAGCGCGACAGTGTTCCCCGAGTATCAGCACAAGTTTGTGGCGACTCACGCGATCGGGTAGATCCTAGTACCCAAGCTTCGTACATGCAAAAAGTGGCAATGTACAGACCACAGGGACATGTGGGTCGTGTCGCAGAAAATATGAGTGACCCCAATACCGTCGCTACCCAGATGAAAAATACCGTGCTGGTAGTCCAACAGCCGGGGGGCTTCGGCAGAAGACGAGTTGGTGAACGATCAGGTTGCCCAGCAGAGGACCTTCCTAAATCTCAATCATCTCGTGGGCCTGTGCCAGCTCCAATGATGTCGTTAACCCAGGGTTCACAGGGATCAGAATCACAGGTCGTTGCTCCCAGAAGACCTAGCTCGACTGCATCACAGCCATCCCGGACTTCAAGCACCGGCCAAAGTCACAATACTGGGATGACCACTGTTCCGGTCGACTCAAGTCAGCAACATCAAGCCCCTACAGCCCGAACACTCACCGACCATAATGTCTATCGGTTGAGGACTTTCCTAGCGTCAAGAAGGCAGCGACGACTAGCTACGACTAGAGCAAGTCCTACCACCGCCACAACCCCAAATCTGACATGTAGCGGACTTATCAAGGATGCTAGGGCATACCATGGCCGTGTATGTCGAGTCAGGGGAGCTGCCGAGTCGTATGCGCGTGGCTTTGGCCTGGAGGTTGCGTCCTGCCTGTACCAGTATGTTGTGATGCGGTGCACCTTCGATGAGGCTCACGGCACTTTGATGGTCAGCCTTTGTGCATTAAGTCAGGGACATTGTGCCATCCTAGCAAGGAACACCCGGAGCACTGACGTGGTGCAGATCGTCTCGGTCAAGGATCCGGACACTGAACAAGCTTGCGAAGATGCACATCGAAACAAGCACCTTATCCCAATTGAGCCCAACAAGCCACTGCCGATAGGGATGCAGATACGGGCCGGATTTGGAGATGAAAGCCGCCATATTGGCAAGCACAGCTGGATTGATATAAGCAAGGTATACCAGGTCCCAGTTGAGTTCATCAAGGCCGGTCGTCACGTATCGCTCAAGCTGTGCAAATGCTCGTGGGAGAAGATGAGAGAGAAACTGTCCATGGGAACGTGGACGGAGGAGAGATTCAGCATCGAGCGGGAATTCAAGCGCTTCCAAAACACGAAGGGCAAGGAGCATACACCGGACTATCAAATCCGTGCGGCAGACAACATACTACTTCAGCTCCAACCTCAATCTCAGCTCCAGCAGCATGAACTGCGGCCGCGTCTTCGGCGATATCGCGTGGACGAACTCCTTCATCTCCAAACACTGCGGTAGGGGTATTCATGCTGTTAGGGTGAACCGTCTCGCATATAGCGGAGTGCTTTGAGACGCGAAGAACTTGAGGTTTGTAAACGGGAGCAACAAGGTGCTGCACGCAGAGTTGACATAATTATGTACATACATAACCAGATGGCAGCCCGGAGAAGCCCCACCAGCAGCAACCGGGGAGACTCTGGGGAGCTTCAAATACGATCAGCCCTGCATAATTCTTCTCGCTTTCCTACCTTGGGCTCTGCTTCTGCATATGCTATACGACATGATCGTACTCGATCCACCTCGGGCTTGTGGCAGTGCTGATAGTGCAGCTACCGCACGCGATCTGCGAACTGGGAGGATCCAAGTGAGCAACTAGTCCTGTTCCTATGCGCCGACGAGAGCTACTGCATTGCTGCGCTGTCAGTCGAAATATCTGGATCCGCTGGGGATACATATGAGCGACTGCTACCATCCTTCAAAGAATCTCCAGACTAGAGGCTAGGTCGACAAGGTACGGTATACAAGACCATTGCAAGCTTGTTTCCCGCCCGGCCCATTTCCAGCCATCAGCTACCCTCTTCGTCCTGTTCCACTTCTAGCCTGCTTCACAGACACAATGCTTGACCCGAAAGAAGAAGATCTTGAAAAGCTGGCAGAGACCTGTCTCGCCACGGCAAGGCAGATCAAAGAATATCTCGCTGCGAACAAGCAACCACAGCCAACATTCGACCAGGACGGGCCATCCACCTTCCCCGCGGCCACCCCCGAAATTCAACGGGCTCGACTCGACCTTCGCACCGCCGCCAGGAGACTCTACGACCTGGCTTCGGGCCCGGAAGACATAGTGACATGGCATCTCTACCAAAGCGTGAGTCCCTGGAGATCTCAGAAGAAACCTGACATACGGACGCCGCATCTCACACCACAACTCATCAACAGTGCCACGACCTCAACGCCTTGCGCTACGTGTTTCACTACAACATCCACACCGCCGTGCCCCTCGATGGGACCATAACGTACACGGACCTGGCGTCTCAACTCTCTCTCGACGCGTCGCAATTGAAACAAATGCTCCGACAGCTCATGCCGATCCACGTCTTCACCGAGCCCACGCCGGGCCACGTCGCGCACACGGCGTCGTCACGCCTCCTTGCCACGGATGCGGGCATCGCAAGCTACACGGGCTTCATGGTCGAGGGCACGTTCCCCTACGCGGCGGGCCAGATCGAGACGTTCGAGAAATGGGGCCACGGACGGCCGGAACCCAACCGCACAGCCGTCAGCCACTACTACGACACCGACCTGTCCATGTTCGAGTACTTTGAGACGCGGGCGCCGGCCGTGCGCGACCGCTTCGCCCGGCTGATGACGCACATGTCGAGCAACCCGTTGATGGCCAACAGGCACGTGGCGAGCGGATTCGATTGGTCGTCGCTGCCGCCGGACGGCGTGGTTGTCGACGTCGCCGGTGGGCTGGGCCACTGTTCGATCCCGATCGCCGAATCCACGGCGCCGACGGTGAAATTGATCGTGCAGGATCTGCCCAAGATCATCGCCCGGGCCGGCGACCCGGCGACGTGCGTGATTCCCGAGCCGCTGAGGAGTCGGTTCGAGTTCATGGCCCATGACTTCTATGCGCCCCAGCCCGTCAAGGGCGCGGCCGTCTACTTTCTGCGCATGATTGTGAGTTTTGTGGAAGCCCTTACCCCGATATACCGTGTTATCATTCTTCTGGCAAATGGAACGAAGACTTACGCACGGCCTTTGCGCAACAGCTGCACAGTTACTCGGACGCGTACGCACTCCGTATCCTCCGCAACATCATCCCCTCGGTAAGTCGGTCATTTCAGTCATTCAGTCATTTACCCTGCCGTCCACCACCACCACCACCGGCGCGTACGCCGTCAGGTATATAGCTCGTCAAGGGCCTATATATTCTGACCGTGGCTGCCTGCGTACCGTATCATTGCACTCTTCGCCTTACCCATACAATACACACACACCTTCGACGTTTCAGACCTCAGTCCCTGACACACAGCCCACACTCGGAGATTGATCTCCTGGACATAACTAACACAATCCGCAAATGTTACAGATGACCGCGACGTCCAAGCTCGTCATCATGGACCAAGTCATGCCCCCGGCCGTCAACACGCTACCGGAACCGCTCGAACGCATCAAACGCTCGCAGGACCTGCAGATGATGCTCCTCTGCAACGCCAAGGAACGGGACGAGGCCGAGTGGGCCGACCTGTTCGCGAGGGCGGGCGAAGGTCTCGTCCTCGAGGTCGAGGAGGAAGGCACCAAGCTGGGGATCTTGGCCATCAGGACCCCGCCGGGGAGTATGATGAGTTTGATTGAGGTTGGGTTTGTGCGTCGTGGTGGTGGTGTGGCTGAGGGTGGTGTGGACGGCGGTGCGGGAGTCAGTGCGGATGCTGTTGAAAATGGCGAGGCATGACAAGTCAGGTCGATATGGATGGCGCGGAAGGGCCAAGGCGAGGGTCTGGGGCGGGTGGAGGTGGTGGTGGTGGTGGTGGTGGTGGTGCATGGTGGTGACTAGGAATCTGCGACCAAGGGCAGGTTCGAGTAGAGTAGAGAAGAAAGAGTACGGAGTAGACTATAAGAAAAGAACAGGGTATCGTTCAAAGTAAGTGCAGAGTAGATAGATAGATGGGACGTCCAGTGTGGTGTGAAATGAGTACAAAGCAGACAGTACGTACATGATAGTGCTTTGGTATAGGTAGGTATGGTATACGACACCGCCCTGCATATCGAGGACAGTTCGTGGGAATGGAGATGGGAATGTGTAGTATAGAGATGTCTACGGATCGTCTCTTGTCGTGTGGTCTGGTCGTGTCGCTGGTGAACTTCGAAGACAGGGGTACCGTCCAGACGAGACATCAATGCCAACACGTGGGCTTGGATTTGCACGTGGTGGGCGTTTGTGATTACTTCGATGCGTGAAAAACACGTCGTATGAAATTTGTCTGAGGACAGTGAACTGGGCAAGACATCTTAAGAGGGCGCTGATTTCAAGCAGCCTCTGATCTGTGGCCATGACACGCTCTACTTCGCACCAGGGGCGTAGAGCACAACCAGGACAAGTAAGCACTCCAAGCACAACACGCCCATGTTTGTATTGATCCCTCTTCTATTATTTTTCTTCTTCTTATTGCTGGGTTCCCTGAGAGGCGCCATGTTAAACCTTTGTGCACTCCTTTGGTCAGGTCACCCTCTGTGCCTCAACCACATGTCGAAAGAGCTCACCAGCGGAAGTTCAACCATAGGGGAACTCACCAGTGGGAGCTCAATTCCAACGTGTGGGAAGTCCCCAGAGGGTGACCGGACCAAGAAGCCCACAAGAGTCTGACATGGCGCCTCTCAGGGTTCCCCCTTTCCTTGTTTCAAAGGCCTCGTGGACTGCACATGATTGTTGGACTGTTGAAAATGGCGCGCTTCAATGATGCCAACAGCGGATGCAGGGTGCACGCTGGGCTCGTCAATGCAGACGACGCGCTCTTTCATGTACCCAGCCATAACATTTGACGCTAACACGGACTTGGCCAACATTAGGAGTTGTGATACACATTTCTTCCATCCTTGCCCTAATACACGCTCTGCTCGAGTTCGATGATTTCATCCGGGTCTGTCACCCAGATCAACTCTCTACCCTGTTCTCTGGCCTCGCGTGCAGCTTTCAAGCCTTCTTCAAACTCTCTGTCCCAGAACTCAATACTTTCTCGGGTATCTCGATCAGTCCAGGTCTTCTGCACAAGGTTGTCCACGTAGGACGATACGACGCCTGCTTCAATATATGTCTGAGATGGGACGTTCTTGAAAATCTCTGCCGCCCACGCGTCGTACTGGTGCTCTCGTTCATACTCGGTCATGCCGTCTTCATCGACGATGGTGTTGTCCAGGTCTTCACGGCCCAGTGGCTGAAGAGGCGAGGCAGTCTGCATGGTGGTATCCTGAGGACTGGTGATGGTGCGGTGACCCACTGGCTCAGGAGTGCTGACTTCAATCGGCGACTCACGAAATTCGCTGTCTGACCCTGGCGGAGAGGAGGAGCGAGACCGAGCTTGCTCACTAAGAGAAAGGCGTGAAGACTTGGCGGGTTTGTACTTCTGTGCATCTGATCTTGCCTTGTTCAATCTAATCTCCTGTGTATCGTTGACCATGATACTATCGCTGTGACCTGTAAATCCGGATTGATCGAATGCGGATGTCTGGGGAAGCTCGGCATGTGACATTCTGGGTGTACTCGGTGGTTGTGACGGGACTTTGCCTTGCACTTGGTCGAGTGTGACTTCGCTGGTCTCGTCTCCATCATCTTCGTCATCCTCGAAATCAGGAAGCACGAAATTGCCTGGTCGGGGATTCGCGGGTGAAGGTCGCCATGTCTCATTCGTAGGATCGGTGACGGTAGGATCATAGCGGTGGGGAGTATTGTTGTAAGTGTTGCGCATTGTGTCTGGAGAGTGCATAGCCCTTACATCCCACGGAAGGTCTGAAGGCGAATCGGTGTGCTGGCTCGACATGTCTGCGAAGGTGCTGCCACGATAATCTCCAGCTGGACCATACTGCCCGTAGACAGCCTTGGCCGAAGTAGGAACGGAGTTGATGCGCACTGATTTAGCAGAACGTCCAGTGGCGTTGAGGGTCTGTCGCAGGGCTGAACGCAAAGGGGTCTGTGGTGGTGGCTTGTTCGTAGGAGTCGACGGCTGGCCCTCTGTCGCCGACGACTCTTCAATGCCTTCGACGTCGTTTTCAACATCAAGATAGCTGTCATCAATACCATAACCACCTCGTCTCGGTCCCGGAACTTGGCCATCGACAGACGCAAGCTTGCGCTTGTTGCTACCTAGGATCTGAGTTGGTTGAAAGACTGGGTGCTCCATTGAGGAGATTTGTTCACGACCACCGATGGTATTTGCAGTTCTCCGCCTTTTGAAGTGTTCGCGAGTGAAGATTCTGCTGTCGACGGTTTCCGGCTCGGGAGTTGGCGACTCTGGCTCGTAGGTGATTCTTCTAGGAGTGGGGGAGGGACTGCCTTGATCTGAGACATCGTCTTCTTCGGCGGCAGCTGTGTCGGGATCGCGGTCGCCAATATTGCTTTGTTGTGGCTGTTCCTGATTTGCTGCCGCACCCTGAGAACTGCCTCCTCGGACCCAGCCAAAGATCTTTCTCACACTGCCAAGAAGGCCACCTTGTGACGCGGTGCGGGTTGGAGTCTCTGGCTGCTGTTGCGGTCTTGTCCGTTCTTGAGAACTGGGACGCTGCGTGACTGCGGTGGGGCTGGACTCGGGACTTTCTGGTTCGATTGCGCGGTCGAAGTAGGCGGACTCGTTTCGGGAATTGAGCTTCGGTGGCGCGGAGGTGAGAAGGCTTCGGTTTCGAGTCTTGGAGAATAAAAATTTTTGTGTATCAGGTGTGGCGGCTTTGCGTTGTCGCTTGGAGGTATTGTGGTCGGTATCTTCTTCGAGTTCTCGTCGTCGCTTTGCGCTCATGGGCACTACATGGATGGGACAACAAGTACATATTAGCTTGGGCTCAGTTTGGGAAGAGGCATTGCGATAGTTGGATCTGGGTCTTGGGTCCTGCTCAACCTGGGTAGCCATATCACGGGTTTCCAATTCAGTCTGGGTAGACACTGCTGCTGTGGTGGGCACCAAGATAAAGGAAGAACGGGCTCCAGAATTAACACGGGTAGCAATGACAGGGCCTTGTGCAGGGATAGTAATTGAACGCGTCTGTTTCTCACGTTTTGCAGGCTGTATCTCGGAGAAGCCCTCGGGTCGGGCGCCCTGTCCACGGGTGTGAACCATGATTGAATTGGTTGTCGTGGTAGTGAAGAAGCGATGAGTTGCGTTCGAGTGACTGCGATTAACTGCGCTATGGTGTTGGAAATGTACAGTTACAGCAGTGAAGGCGATGGCATCGAGTGGTGATAAGAAGAGCGATAGCTCGCCTCTTGGTGAGAGGTTAAAGCAAGTTCTTGTTCACAAGGAAAAGACTGGTGTTGTGGTGAAGCGCATCTGAATCGTAATTGAAGTTCGAGTGATTGAATCGTCAAAAAGTTCATTTACTGAATTGGGAATAGTGTGTCTCCAGGAATAACCCCGGGCATTTACGCGTTCTGCTTGTCGTGTCAATGTCATTGTTCTATCGTATTTTCAAGATACTCTCATTGACGGACTTTCGAGCACCCATGGACATTGTCGCTCTCGAATTTCTCAATGAGACTTGCAAATAGCTCCGGCCCTCGCTGCCAGCCCGTTGCGATGCAGTTTCCTCTATGAACTACACGGCGTTCTGGCCTGCTAATCCCTTGACCATGATCGAAAGAATACTTCCGTCCTTCATGGCTTTCTTTCGACCTTTTTTATCTTTGTCTATCGTCGAGTCTCCTGTATGCCCACCGTCTCCACCGCTGCATAGAAATACACATTGCGGACCTTTAAATTCGCGAGCGAGCTGGCGAAGCACACGGATCTCGAGTGTGCTTGGTGCGTGGTCTCCGCCCAGGGCCATCGATTGTCGCCCAAGTGTAGTTTCTGACTCTGGTCGCGGCAGTGCAGGGGGAGGGTCTCAGGTAGCATCAGGTCGAATGAAACTTGATAGCCTGTTAGCTGATGCTGATTGGAATTCCAAGCATCCGAGATTAGTAGAGGCTTTTCCCACGCCGTTTGATATGATCGATTCTCGTATCACAGACGATGGGCCATGGCAATTAAACGTCGCCGGCGTTCGTCAGACTTGCGACACAATTCTTCCAGGCAAATCAGCATGCAAAACGGCGCACAAGGGACAGTCCTGCTGATGACTTTCTCCACAACATTATTCATAGACTACAGACAGTGACCGTATTGGAAACGTATAGCTGCGAAACACGTGAATCTACACTTCGGCGAAGCGAGTTGCGCAGATTAGGTTGCGGTACTTGGGTCATGTCCTCAACCGGCCAGGAGGGTTTGGGCTGCGCTTCAGGCTAGCTTCATGAATTTTCCATCTCTCAGGTAGATGACTGGTGGTCAAGAGCAATAGCTCTTCGACAGCTATGCTGGATGTTCTGCCTCTTTCCACGCCTATCGACAGCGGTCTGAGTTCCTTGATGTCGCCGTCCTGCCTGCCTATATTAACGCTGATATTGCAATATCACAGTCCTTCTTCTCGACCAGAACCGTAGATGCACTCGATGATTACACCACCGGCTTGAGACGGGGCTGAGGGATCATACGACGTATCCTGTGTTGCTGTATTGGAAAAATCGGTGTCTGAAGCGTCTGGAACAGACAAGCAATAAAATCCACGGGTAAGTATCTTGCAGATTACCGAACCTCCAAATGCAGCAGATGCATAGCAGAGATTTATGAGCCTGCTGGCCGTCATGGCTCTGATTGTCGTGACATGGTTTTTGCTTTTGCTAGTGCTGACCGGGCGAAAGCAAGACGAACAGCTGTATAGTGGTGGCGACGCAGGCGATGACCGGAAAATCGAACGATCGGAGGACCGAATGGCCCGCTTTCATCGCACCGAGGGTAGCGAGTTACTATAAGTCAGCACCACTTGCACGAAGACTCGATAGAGGGCGAAAAGACTTGGAGGGATAGATTCGAGCCTGAGAATCAAGATGAAGTCTCTTGTGGCTCATACCCAAACCTGAGGGGCGTATGCAGGATGACATCACATGGCAGCGGTTTGGGGACAATGATGAACTTGCTGCATGGTGCATGCTCCGTATGTGCTTAGTCGTACGTGTGAGGGAGCAGCACTTGCCACGAAGCGCTGAGCGGCGAAGAGGGGAAAGAGGAGCCTAAGCAATGGTACTCTAGCCACGACATACGGAGTACTGTACCTGGAGTGACAGCCCGATCGTCCCATAAACGAATGTGGGGGGCCAGCAAGGCTTCCTCCAGTACGGGGGTCAGGGGATTGCCACGAGAGTCGAGCGCCCTTCGAACTACTGTATGTACATTGCTGTAACGCGACATCCCGAGATCCAGGCTATTATGTAGTGCGACCCTGTATGTGATGTTGAGCAACAAATGAGGCGTCAACGGAATTCATCCGACAGGCATGTTACTTTGCTAAGTGCTGACTGTTCAAGATACATAGATGAGTCTCACATAACAGCCCGCCATTTCGACTGCTAACTCCCATCTGAGCACTCCTCCAGACGTTTTATCAGTTTCTTTGTGCTCGCAGGGAATATCGAAACACGACGACGAATTGCTTCTGTCGGAGTACCCGATATGGCGTTCCCTTATCCCATCATCGCCTTGGAGGAACACTTCTGGGCCCAAGCGGCGACCGAGTTCTACACATCGAAGTCAAAGCAGGATCCTTATAGCACGACTGCCCTCCTACGACGATGTCGAGATGAGCTGCTTGACCTCGGCGAGTCTCGTCTGAAGTTGATGCAAGAATCTGGTGTCGCAGTGCAAGTCCTCTCGCACGCGGCTAGTTTCCTCGCTCTCGATGCCCCGACATGCCAAAAGGTCAACGACGAAGCAGCCAAAGCCGCCGCCAGTCACCCGAAGCACTTCGCTGGCTTTGCGACCATTCAAATGCAAGATCAGAAAGCCGCGTGCGACGAGCTCCGTCGGTGCGTCAAGGAGTTGAAGTTCGTGGGCGCGTTGATCGACAATACATGCGAGGGACGGTTCTATGACGACCCTTTCTTCTGGCCATTCTTCGAAACAGCGCAGGAACTCGACGTCCCGGTCTACTTGCACCCTTCATACAACGAGCAGACGAAACCACTCCTGTATGATGGCAACTACCCTGATGCCATCGCGCAGACTCTCAGCATGCACGCCTGGGGTTGGCACGTCGAAAACGGCGGACACATCCTCCGCCTCTTCGCCTCTGGCTTCTTCGACAAATTCCCCCGCTTGAAGTTGATCTTGGGCCACATGGGTGAGATGCTGCCATATCAACTTGACCGAATCATTCGCATTACAGAGCATCAGTGGCCGATGGCTGGCGTCAAGCCCGAGAGGGGCTTGAAGCGGGTGTGGGATGAGAATATCTGGATCACAACGAGTGGAATGTTTGCGCTGGCGCCCATGGCAACACTGCTGAAGCAGTGTAAGCCGGACAGGATAATGATGTCGATTGATTATCCGTTCGCAAGAGTGAGTTCATCTTTGTCACCCATATCTGTCTGAAGCAGTGGGGTATTCGAACAGGGGCTGACGCGAAATCATACAGCACGAATGGGGTCTCCAGTTCTTGAAGGACTTACAGCAAAGTGGAATGATCGATGAGAGCACGCTGGAGGACATTGCATACCGGAATGCCGAGAGATTGCTCAAAATAAAGGCGTGATGCAATGGAAGTAGTCTCAAATCATTGGCAAGCCATTGCGCCGTTCCTCCATCTGACCGTTGGCAGCATGAGCTTGTCCTTGTGAATCCGAATGTCATGCTTCTGAGCGGCCTGCAAGGTTGCAACAGCAATCATTATGCGGGTCGCGATTGTCATACCTACCACCAGATAGAGGCGGAAGTGAAGTTCACCGACGTGCGCTACCCGCAGATGGTTTTTGACACCAAGCTGAGTTGAGAGGTGTTTGATGAATGATTGGATACAGGAATGCATCACCGTGAAGGTAAGTGTAGGTGACATTGCTGGGGTGGAAGAGCGCGAGGCAGCTACCAGCACCTCCCACCGCAAGCAGCCCATACTCAGATCAGGGCGGCGGCGATGCAAGCCTCAAGTCCCGCCCATGTTCGCTCAATTAGCTGGTCCGCTGCACATCACAGCTCGAATGACCGCGGACGCTCAGCCTGGTGAGAAGTCAATCTCTTACCATGGGATCGCGAGGTCGTTCCCTTGACACCTACCACTGCCGCTAGCGAGTGCAATGGCTAGCTTTGACGTTGGTCAAGAGTCGTGGCTCTCGGGGGGGACTGATGTGTCTCGCCAACACATTCCCTGTCAGCGATTTCCAGTCTTGCATCACCCTCACCCTCCAAGGATCCAATGACACGGTATCCCGAACAAGCAATGGGCTCATTCGTCACCGTCACGTCGGAAACCCCTACAGATATGCACCGCGAGCCTCCAATGCGCTCGAGGCCGTCTTCACAGACAACCATCACCAAAGGATAGCACCGCCAAGTCAGGAAACGAAAAAGGCGGCCACAATAGTGACCCTGTTCGCGGTCGGTCCAAGTCGGTCTCATCAGCCTTTCCTACAAGGCCATCGAGTCGTCCGCGTTCGCTCCCGCTCCGAGATATCGGATTACGGTTACTGATGAGGAATTGATCAAGACCAAGACCATTACGGTGACGTCGTATAGTGTAGCACAGAATCAAATCCCCCTGGAGAAGGGAGATACAATTCTGCAAACAGACAGCAAGCAACCTCCCATGCTCGAGAATGTACTACCGACGCCAGGACGGGGCCAACTATCAGGGACCCCCGAATCAGAAGGACTACGAGAGCGATGTACAGACAGCGGACAAGTCAGCTGAAAGATATCGTAAAGAAGCTGGTCGACGTCCATTTGCTGAGCTCTGACCCCGGGCCGTTCTCTTACCGCTAAGAAGTCCTGACGTTTTGTGACAGGTCTGCAGCCGATCATCTTGTCATCCATCCGGAATCGAACGGTGCGAAGTAGACGCTCGATCGCTCAGTACTCCACAGAACGCATCAGTAAAGATCGGAGGCTTCATCGCTGGAGCCCACGTTTCTCCATGCTCTGTGTAAATGGCTCACACAATGGCGGGTACCAAGCCGCTCTCTACCGTGTTGAGGGACCTCTGCTTAGGAACCGTTCTCCTTATGGTCCTTTGCTGTGAGGAACCTAAAGAAGTAACGAGTTCTCCTTGGTCGGTATCGACGTGAGAATGGAATGTGCCCGGTACCGACGTGACAAGAAATGAGCAATGATACATTGAACAAGCTAGAGTCAACACTTTAGTTCAGCCATGTGAAACCCCCTGCCAGTGGGATCAAGATGGTATGTCTGCACGGGAATATCCTCAAAACGCATCCCAATTCCCTGGCAACGTCCCCTGCCTTGCCGTAGATCTTGCACGGCTCGCTGGCCTGTATATTCAGCACAGCCCTTCCGTTGGATCGACCAGTGCAAAGACTCAGTTGGTGAAGATCATGAGCCTGGAAAGACCGGGCCGGTGGTTTCGCCATGTCAGTGATGAGTGAGCACGCCGTGACTGTTTTGCGTTTGTCTTGCCCTGCCCTGGCCTGCCTTGCCGGGTCATTGTCAATCATGGCATTGAGCTCCGTAAGTATTTAGTCGTACGGATACATACTGTGCCAGTACGCGGTACGTAGTACACAGTACTGTACTCTACTGTACTGTGTACCTCGTCGCTCTGCCACAGCAGTTGGGACTCAGAATCACATATTCGTTTGGCTCTCTGAGGCGGGTCGATGACACATGCGTTTCCCACTTCGGTAGAGGTCGTCGGCGTGTGAGGCTCTCTCTCTGTTCTCTTCCCCTTCCTCTTCCGTGATCGCCGTTTGTCGCCTTACTGGGAATATTAGTGTCTCATAAGCTACTCCATATCTGCTATATGGGTAGGTCCCCTTCGTCCGACGACGGGGATCGGAATAATGCCTCCAGGATCAGCGGGGGATGGTGTACTTGAGTCAACTAGTGTAACTCAATAGCCTTCTAGGCCGTGGCTTTCTGTCGTGCGAAATGATCGTTGAAGCTGGCCCATCGAGATCCATCTGGGATGTTGGATATGCTCTGTGTCATGGTTGTGGGCGATATGCTTAGGAGTGGGACCCGGCATTGCAGCTTCACATACTGTATGTGATTTGGTGCTCGTGTCTGCCCGTTGTCTTCCGTCCGAAGGTACATCAGACGCGGGTGGCGGCTTCATACCGCGAATAATGAGTTGGTCTGTCCCCAGCAAGGGTGAAGTCGTCATCAACACATTAGACGAAGCTTCTGCTCTTCATGACAGCTCGTCACCCACAGCGGACACTGGCGGCGTGTTCGAAGTCGCCGATCAACGGGGGATGGAAGTTGTTGAACCAGCAGGATCACAAGTTCCGCTGCGTCTCAGAGACACACGCTCTCAATCGACAACTGCACAGATGCCATCTAACTACCCACATCGTACAGGACTTGGAGATGGATCACTTCTTTGACAATTTCTTCTTGACGTATTTCTTGACGCGCTTGTCGCTCATGATGAAGCCCGTGACGGCCACGCCGAGAAACATTTTCGACGCCGCCTCTGCGCCCGGGCTCGATGGTTGTGATGCCGCCAATGCGGATGAGGATGCAGATGCGGCTGCAGATGATGCTTTCCGAGGTCCTGTCGCGAACCCGAGTTCGGGATACACCATCGTGTCTGCTCCCGAAGACAGGGACGGGGACGGCGCCAAGACATGCGGGTTCGACTGAGAAGCAATCTCCTCGTCTTTCAGTCGGGCCCGCTCCTTCTCGGCGGCGGCGGCGGCGGCCTTCTCATCCTCACTTGCAACCCACTCCCTAATGGTTTCGTCCCCAGGGAACATCCGCCTTCTCATGGCAATCCAGATCGGCACCAACAGCCGATGTAGCCTCTCTTCTTCCTTCTTGACCTTTTCGTTGGGTCTGCCGTTGCCACCGACCCAATTGGCCCGATGCCATCCTGACCCGAAATCACTCTGCACGCGGCACCACGGATGGGCAAATCTCGAGCCAACGAAACGCCGACTTACTTCACGGTAGGCCTCGGACGTGCCGGGGTACAGGAGATAGATGATGGTGGCTTGCTCGCGGAACTGCTTGATGTCCCGGAAGAATTGCGGCTGAGAGTTCTTGGGGATGAGCAATGCGGAGAAGAAGCGCATGTAGTTGACGTGCGAGTCCGTCAGAGACGCGAAGTACCGTTGCAGGTGTGGATGGATAGTTGGCTCGTCGTCGGAAGATTCAGGCGGTTCGATCAGCGACGTGGATGGAGGCGGGGTGGCTAAGGCCATTACGAAGTTTGATGACACTGTCACACACTCCGAAGAGAGACGAGTCGCGTCCGGAGTACGTAGATCTTGTAACGAGCCAGTCTGGTCGGTCGTAGATCGTCAGAGTTTGTCGGCTTGAATTTAGCACCGAGGGATACGTAGCTCAGTGTACGAGTCCCATTACTTCGAGGTGGTGTTGCTGATCCACGACGCTCTCAGCATCAACCGTAAATGCTGGTGCCTGGAACTGCGGACGGCACTTCGTCAGCTTTGGTCGTCATGCGCCTAGTTGTCGATGCCAGTGAGTTTGTTCAGTGGTTGAGGCTCAAAATTTGAGGTCCTCAGGCCAAGGCTCCAAGACAGCCTTGTCTACGCGGCCCCTGGAGTCTGCCAAGTCCACACTATTGCTCGACGACGGACTGAATGGCGTTGTGATCGGCGTCAATCATCGTGAGGCTCACCTGAGATGAGGAGCCCGAGAAAGTGGTCCGGCCATGGAACAGATGATTTCTTCTTGTCTTTGCCTGGGCGTTGGTTAATGTACTCGTAGTTGGGTTGACATCTCGAGGCTAACGAGTCTCGAGATCCACTTCGGGACATGCAGACTCGGATGCGCAGCCCGCGAAGAAAGCACTGAGCGGACCTAATTAGGGGCTCGCAGAGCTCAAGGGAGCTTAGAAACAGGCATGCTCCGCGCGACTGTTCCTTTGGAGGAATATGTCGTGTCTAATAAGAACGACAGTCTAGTTGATTCCATCTTTTCAAGTGAGTACTTCTTCAGCAGCCCGCAGCCCGCAGTCCGTAGCCGGTAAGCTGGCGTGGAGATGGTATGTACTGTGTACAGTACTCCGTGGACTCAGGAGCGATGCGCGAGTTTCCCCACAACTTTGAATCTCAGGCTCGGATGGCAGATCTGTTTCAGAGATCAGAAGATCCCACCAGATCGGATGCGCTGAGCCTACTGAAACATACTACAGAGTCTAATTGTGACATGTCACAATGCTGGTCACAATGCTGGTCACAATGCTGATCAGACGCTTCTTCAGACTTATCCACAGTCGCGCTATTGCATGTTCTGCCCTGTAGGCCAAAATGATTGCTGCTCCGTAGACCTGAGGCAATGCCCTGCTTGCCCGGGCTCAACATACCCAGTAGAAGCTGCGGTGGTGTGGCTGGCCAACTTTAGCTTGGCGCTTCCTGGCGAAAGTGCGGTGAGATAGGGAGCCATCATGTGCGGCCGCGACGAGGGTGCAGGAGCATGTGGACAGTGAACAGCAATGCAAAAATATTGCTGGGATCCGGCTGACCGCCCTGATCGAGCTAGGTTTCTCGTCCAGGCGCGTTCATGGTGTTGTTTGTACTATGTTAAACGGCCGTGCTGACCCAGCTTCACTGGGTACTGTATCCCACGGAAAGCCTGAAACACCACAGTCCGGTAAGACGCGGGCATAATTACAGTCCCACAGGCGACAGAATGGCAAATCTGTATGTAAGGAGACTTTTGCTCTTGGATCTGCCCGGGAGAGAAGGTTAAGACAGAGCATGGTCTGAAGCACGCTGTGACCTTTTGTCTGGCTTTACGCTGATGTTGGTGGACGAAGTTCAAGCATACCTACCGGATGCGGTAAGAAAGCGTCCCAAAACGGCGATACTGTACCTCCATCCCAGTAACAGCTCTCGGTCGGTGGCAAAGGGCTGGGGGGAGTACAGCATGACTGCTGCAGTGGACATTCAACCATGTGACGCGCTGCACCGAGCTGCACGCCGAAGCGAAGATGACTTGAGCTCATGCAAAGTACAATACTACCGGTGGTGGCGAGTGGTCGCTGCATGCTTCCAGACACGATACGATATGCGAGCCTACAGCTGCTTTACACGCTACGTACGAGGGACTCCCTACTGGTCTTGTTGTGGTGGATAAATGGTGAAAAATTGGTTTTGTGCGTGGGGTGGAAACGCAGCCTCGGTCGGCAGATGCGAGGTCGTGCACTTGAGCTGCGCTGCATTAGCCTTTGTTTAGCTTTTCTCCGGCCAGAGGTGTCCAAGCTGCTGGCTGTAGACGGGACGAGGTCGACCAGACACGAGGTCGCCATGTTATGTGTGTCACCCGTCACACAGCAGCTACATTCTCGAATATTTGCGAATCGTGAGGGTGAGTAGCGAACGTGACCGCGTCAGAGTGCTACTATGTACAGGCAAGCTTTTCTCGGCCGGCAGCGCGACATGAACGACATCCGATGCTCGCAGACAATGGCGAATGGCATTAATCCCTCAGGGCAATGCATGCTAGCACGCACGAATCCTCGTCGAGCACGGTGTAAGCGTCGGCGGGCTGGACCCATCTCGCCAGCTGCGCGCCAGTCCCGTGCAGGCCACTCACATTCTCTCGAAATCCCGAATCTTGCAGGAACACTGACAATTCGCATTTGCCATTGAAATTATTGTGGTCACTAAACATCCCACGGGTGTTTCGCCATGGCCTCCGCAGCCACCGAGACGCGCTCAATCTTGACAGAGTAGCGTGGCGTATCTCGCGCTAATTGCGCTCTCTCCGCATTGTCGATGAACTGAGCGAGCACTTGCGTCTGTTCGGTCCTCATGCAACAGCGCTGGTGGCAGCTACGAGCACGCCGACCGCAACTTCGCATGCTTCGTTGGCAAGCTACTGATGAGTATTGAGCGGTCTCCAGCGTCCAAGCTCCTACAATACTGGGTATGCGACGAGACTTCACCGACAAGGTTTCTCCACCTGCGCAGTAGGGTCTTGGATTCTGCGTGCCAGGAGCACCGTTGCACAGACTGCGTGTTCAATGTTGGACAACGAGACTCCATCGTTTCGAAATCTCCCGAGAGAGCTTCAGTTCAAATTGCGGGCCGCAGTGGATTCCTGCATCATGTGAAGAGATCGCGCGCCACGCCCTGCATCTGACTGGACCTACAGTCCGAAGACCTGCGTCGCTTCGATGCAGTCGCCCAGTTCGAGTGCAGCTACAGTGGGGCACAAGACTCAGCGAAGATACCTGACAGCAGCAGACCTGCGTCGTCAGAGTAGGATGTCATGTCAGATAGCAGAGGAACCTGGTAAGGAACCGTATCTCTTTCCGTAAGGTAAGCCGGCGAGCCGTGCGGGCCGTCAACGTTCACATCGTAGTAAGACGAATTCCCCTGTGAGCAGTGGCGTCCCAAGTACGTGGAAATGCAGCGGGAGTATTCCTGTGGCGCAGTTGGTGTGCACAGCGGTGGCATCAGTGGCGCGGCTCGGTTGACGTCGTGTCAGATGATATGACGGGAGGTGTCGGAGGCGGCATGCTCGCAAGCAGGTTCATTGGACCTGTGAAGCATGAAACCTGGGTACAAGGTGAATAATAATGCAGGGTAAAGACCTAAAGGACATATGACGTGCGTTTCAGGTACCCAAGGCACAAATCACCGAGGTGACAGTTCTCGTAGCGGCACTGTGCACGACGAATGTGGGCCACTGTTGTCTATGATGTAGCTAGGTTAAGCGTTGTGGTGGTTTCGAGAACCGATGACAGCATCCACGAGAAACTGAATTTCCGGCGCATAATCCTCCGGCAGTTGTCCCAGATATAATTAAGACGCCGGATTCGTAGTGATCATCGCGGTCACGCTCTCGAACACGAGAAACACTCCCGATGGACGATGAGTTTACGAGTAGATGTACCAGGCATGGCCGCATTCCCGAGATGGCCCTGTCATATTGCGTCAAGACGGCCAAGATTACATGTCAGAATGCTTGCAAGAACTGGGTGAGAACCTGAATGGCGCGAACCATAGGGGTCTTGGAGGGTCCTACTGTACTTGTTTCTCGTGCTGAATATTACCGAAGGTTGATCGTTTGGTAAACATAGGCCTGCAGATCGGGCTCAGCGGCGGACGAGGACGAGTACGTACCCCTCGTACTGTGTACCCTGAGTGAGCAGGCTCGCAGGCCGTGAACTTGTGTTAGGTTTTACATGCCCTATCCCAACACTCCGGGTACCGGGTACACCCCCATAAGGTGAGATCGACATGGCTGTGAGACGCACGTTGCAAACTCAGGTACAAATTTAGCACTCCTTTTTCACACAAGAAATATTGCAGAAGTGGTGTAGGACCACATACTGATCAGAAATATGTAGAGCAGCGAGGATATACTGTCGCTGCTGGGTCGGCGCAGTGTACATGGTAGTTTCTGCTGAATTCGTGATCCCAAGCCCAATGTTTATTGCGTCCAGCGATCAATACCCATTCGCGCAGGGACAATTTTAACATGCTCGCCCGAGTGGAAGCGCAGAAGCCCGCAGGGTGACAGTGGATAAGTTAGGCCATTCGAAGCATTTATCCTGCTGGCAGCATAGTGGTTGCAGTGAGGCGAGCAAGTGGGCGATGCCGAGGGGCCATTGCTCGCGAGTCGGGGGGCGGTTGGCGGTGGGCAGCAGCTAGCCGGGCGCCTCTGGTTTTTGAAGGATTTGATCAACAGCGACCCAGCCCGAGGAGTCAAAGAGCTACCGTTTGAGAATTAGCGGGCGGTGGGCTCTGGAGGCTGTGTGGGTTTGCGTCTTGCCGCAACAGCCATGCCCGGAAAAGGAGATTTGACTGACTGAAAGCTCGCGCCGCGCTGCCTGTCCTCTGCCCACAGCGCGACACGCAAGTTGCAACCCTAAGAAAAGCCTGGCGATCCACCCACGGACAAGGTGCCCGCTTCCCACCAACAGCAGTTGATCGAAAATCAAAAGGGCTTGCTCGCCCACCCGGCCAGTGCACAAATCACTTGACTTGTGGATGACTGGCTAGACGCCGGCGCACAGTCACAAAGAAAAGAGAGTCGAGTCCCTTCGGCCCTCTCGTCCCTCGTCCCTCGTCTGCCCTGGCATCTTCTGGCTTGTTGTGCCCTCCTCACAAATCTCTTCTCCAACATCAGCTGGGCCTTTTGCCGGCTGCCCGCACAGCATTTTCCCTCATCTTTCATCCTTTCCCAATCATCGTGCAGCCGTTTCCTGTCGACCTGGTCGACCCTCTCCAAGGCCCCTCCGTCTTCCTGCGATTAGTCCTCAACCATCCTTTTCTTTCCGTCCTCTTCCTGTTCAGCATATTCTCTTTCTTCACCACCTTCGCGTAAGCAATCCATCCTCACTTATTCATATACCCGCATATCACTCACAGCCCTTTGCAGCAGCAATTCCTGCCTGTTGCGCACTTGCACGAAACGCAGACACCAGTCCGCCACCCAGCGCACCCAGTCCGTTTTCCTCCGGGTAACCGCCAAAGCCTCTGGTGACCCTTCACGACCCCTCCTGATCTTTTCTGACTTCGCGGGGAGTGGACTGCGGTATCGAATCGTTGCAGGTCACACCATGTCGAAATCCAATTTATAACAGCGGCGGTCCTAGTGGGCCAAATTTCCTACCCCAGAATACACACGGTCGTCTCGTTCGGGTACCTGTGTGCTTTGTAATTCTCTAGGTTGAGATCGGTCCATCTCCATCTCAGACTGTCAAAAGGAGGTTTTCTGATCTTTCCTTATCCAACTTCCGCTTCTGCGAATGGCACACCATCAAAAACACCAGACGGACGCCAGCAGAAGAGACTCCGCAATGCAGAGTCTACTTAAGATCTTCAAAATGTCGAACACTCCCACGGTTCCTCTCGACGACGATGAACTCGGTGCGGAGCCCGACGAACCGCCAGACGATCAGGTATCACCTCTTACCTCAGTCGCCCCACACGTCACGCTCTACAATCGATCCATGGCCCCAGGATACAGCCGTCGCGAGTCTCTCCTGACTCGTGCCATCATGGCCGAATCCAAACACGAAGACGATATTCACGGGTTCCCAAGCCGCGGACTGTCGACGACGTCCTCGCACAGCACAGCCAGCATGCCTTCCACTGCCGAGTTGACCAGCGACGGCGACACATCGCAGTCTCGGTCCGCTACGCCCAGCCCACCTCCTCCTTCGAGCCGTTTCAGCCAAATCCTGAATCTCAGAAAAGCTAGTCCTAGAGTTGCTATTGCTCCTGTCACAAAGGACGAGAAAGAAACGGTGGCGGTGGCGGGCGAGGCAGCAGTGGAAAAGACGCTCGGGCGCAAACGATGCATAATGTTTGCCTGCGGAGGGGCTGAATCGGAGAAAAGCAAAGAAAACCTGAACAAGGAAGGGTCAGGAGCGCCCGAGGTCACCAAGCGAAAGTGCGCCCTTACCTTTGCATGTCCGACCCAGTCCACCTCGAAAGCGGCCAAGAATGCTCCATCCAAATTGCAAGTGGACGTGAAAGCCGCACGTCGTCCCTCTCCTGCTCCGGCCATGAGACGAAAGTCAACATCCGAGTCGGTCGATCTTTCCGGTCGTTCAGCCGAGACAGCCAGGATCACCACTTCTGAGAAAGGCAATCTGTCGCCAACGCCCAAGGCTGCTTTCCACGAGTTCGGTACCTCTCAGGACGAAACTGACTCGTGGGTTGACAAGCCAAGCTTCCATCGGGAAAAGCTCACCTTGGACGACTGCATGAGAAAGGAGAACCGCATCCGCCAGATTGGACAAGAAGCTGAAGAGGAGGCTGAAGAAGAAGAGAGGGAGCAGGACGATCTTGAGGCAGACGTCGAGGTCAATGACCACGAAGATGACTTTGCGCCTTCTGAAGACGGTTCGGACGGCGGCAATGAGTCGGATGACGAGGGCGGCTTCGCTAGCTCCGACGAGGAAAGTGATGCCGGCTCCGAATATCAGTTCTGGGCACCATTCACTGCCAATACCGCTTCGAGCACCGAGAATCTCAACATCACGCACTTCAGTTCTCGGAGGCGATCGGAAGCGAGCTCTGTCGAATCTATGACCCACTCGAGCAACTCGCACCTCCGCTCCATGATGCTGCAGGCTGGAAGGCGTCGCAACAATGCCTCGAAAGTACCAAAAATGAGGCCTGGAACACCCGAGCTACCCGACAGTACTGACTTCGTCTGCGGCACCCTCGACGAGGACCGCCCACTGGAGGCAGCTTACCTCTCATGCCGTGAGCAGAGGATGCGTCAGAAGCACGTACCCATTCCGCAAGATATCGATCCGAGCTTTCCCACCACCGACCCTGAAGACAATGGAAACGAAAGCGACGACGAAATAGATGGGTCGCAGCACAGCTCCGACGGTCCTCGGTGGCTCAAGGAGGACTTCGCCGGGTTCGAAGATGACCATTATGGTCGTCGGAAGTCTTCAATTGTGTCTCCGGTCGACGAAACACCGTCACCGCCTCACGTCGTTACTGGGGTGAGACCGGGTCGACCCAATGTTCGCTCACCGCTGCCCAGAGTCATCACTGCTCGGTCACCACCGCCTCGGAAACTGTTCGGGCATTCGCCTACTAGAAACAGGTCGCCTTTCCCATTGGCCAAGTTGCGCTCGCCACGTGGTTCTCCTACCACTACGGGTGTTCCGACAAAGCTACGGCTTCGAGGTCTCGCACAACGTCCGGGCATGGAACGGACAGCATCTCTTCCTGATACACCCAACCCATTCTTCAAGAACTTCAACATCGGGAGCCCTTCGATCTCTAACATCGCTTCTGGAGCTGTGACACCCGCAGTGGAAGAACCTCCCCGTGCGGACATGCACGTCCGAGGCCCGGTCGACATTGTTGCCGGTCTTGAGAATAAACGGCAGAAACGCAAAGAAAAGTTCTGGCGGCAGCACTGTCGCAAAGCGGCCAAGGAGCAAGCCGAACGCAAGCCTGTTCCTGGTCGTGGAGCCGAGAGAATGAAGGAGCTTGGTCTCGAATGTGCTGAACGTACAAGAGGCTACGGCATCGGGCAACAAACCCAACTGGTTCTTTCGCTTTAATTCTCTTTGCACAAACCAACCGTGGTACATATATCGACTTTTATTTTGTTGGCGATTTTTCACAAGGGCTACCTTGGCCTGGATTTCAAACATAGCCTGGGTTGGGATCTTGCATTCGGTTATGACGACTTCATGACGGGTTGGGCGCGGCGACATGGGGTATTGCGCTGCCCGGCGTATGTCTCGATCCACAGCATCCTGCGCGACAGGTTTTTCATGCACAGCGCACGTTCCTAAGAAGGGACTTCTACATTTTGGCATTGTAAATACATGGATCATCAGTATGATCCCCAGATATCCGACCAGCTCTCTCAAGTCAGAAGACTTGATCGATGGCAGCGTCGAATGAATGCATCACAATAAACAATAATTGCGGTTTTCCCTGCTCTTGGTCGTGCTGCCATGGGCTATCACTCGATTTGAAGAAGCGGTATTTCTGGAAAGAGTAACTTCGCGTTGACCATCACAGGTGTCCCTGCCGAGACTTTAGCATAAATGCTTCAGAATAGATTGGGAAAGGGTAGCTGTGTTCAAACACACTGGTGGCAGTGATTTCAGTCACGCTGGACTTAAAGCAGGTGAAGGGTGACGGCGGTTCAGCAAGCGACATATCTTCGTTACTCGTTGCTGTCTGGCGGTGTGGCGGTGGCGGTGGCGGTGGCGCCGAGTAATGTCACGTGACGGACGGACCAGAATCTCCGTCACTTTGAAAGGGAAACTGCCACCGTGTGCCGTGCGATATCCTCGTTCATATTCTCGTCCTGGCGCCGTCGTGTCGTTGACATCCCTCAGAACCACAGTTTCGCGAACCCACCATACCTGTCAATATGTGGATCATTAATTGGTGTATGTTTGACGCTGCCGGTTGTGGTAGGACCTGAGGACGCTGATATATCTCGCTTGATTTAGTCTACGATATCCTCGCCTCACTGGGGCTTCTCAACAAACATGCCAAACTGTTGTTCCTCGGCCTGGACAATGCGGGCAAAACGACGTTATTACACATGCTGAAGGTATGATTGATGCCAGGATATGTCGAGGATGAGGTGGACGTCAAGTCAAAAGGTGGAAGAGGTGGCGGACCAGCGGAGGGCAACAAAGACGATTTAGATCCTCAGTGGTGTTGCTGGCAGGACGCCAAAGACTGACTTTCTCTGGGCAACAGAATGACCGAGTCGCAATCCTCCAGCCTACGTTACATCCCAGTACGTTCTACGTTCTTGCAGTTCCTCCAACCTGCGCAGTTGGACGTTTCAACTGACCGATACTTGAACAGCTTCCGAAGAACTCGCCATTGGCAACAACAGATTCACAACCTTTGATCTCGGTGGCCATCAACAAGGTACGCCTGATGCCGGTCATATCATCGGTGTACCTCAAGGGCTGACAATCATCCAGCTCGCCGTCTCTGGCGCAACTATTTTCCCGAAGTCTCCGGCATCGTCTTCCTCGTTGATGCAAAAGACCATGAACGTCTCCCCGAGGCAAAAGCCGAACTCGATGCTCTTCTCGCGATGGAAGATCTAGCCAAAATACCCTTCCTGGTTCTAGGAAACAAGATCGATCACCCAGATGCCGTGTCGGAGGACGAATTGAGACACCAATTGGGACTGTATCAGACGACAGGGAAAGGAAAGGTGCCGCTGGAGGGGATCAGGCCCATCGAGGTCTTCATGTGCAGCGTCGTCATGAGACAGGGTGAGTACGATGAACTATTTGAAGGTGGATTGAAACTGATGAGCTCCCACTAGGTTATGGCGAGGGCATCAGGTGGCTGGCGCAATACGTCTAGGTTAGCAACGTAAAGCACGTGAGCAGCTATGCATGTTAGCGAGTGGTCAATCATCACGACAATTCAACCCAAGGCTGTGACCGAGCAGTGGGGCAGGTCACGCACAAAATAACAACAACAGAGATCCATCAAGACAACCCACAGCCTCTCGGCAGCTAGACCACATCCAAGCCGAACGGATTCAGCAGCCTCTGTCACCGCATTTCACGCATCACCCAAACTAGGCCTCTGACGACTGGAAGAAGAAGATAACGGCGTACTTTTTGGCGTAGGCATCAGCTTCTGGGCCATTTAGAGACTGTCAAACACCGCCTTTCCAATGCAGAACGAACATGATCTAAAGGAAGGAAAGCCTCTCTTGTCCTCAGACCGTTATCGTCGAGCACTACACTCCCACCCTTGCCTCAATCAGCAAGCCAGATTTCATACGGCTGAGTCTGTGATGAGCTGGACTGCCTGCGCAGAATGTTGGCCCTGTTTGTTGCTCCTACTTACCACTCGCAGGGAAGTGCGGGAGATGCGTCGTTCAGCTTGTCTAGCCTTACCCTTTACTCTCTCTGCTGTCCGGTTCACAGAGAGTACGCTGCAGTTTTTCCATGCTTCTTCGCGCGACTCATTACTGTCTTCGTCCTGCTCTTTCGATTCTGGCTATAAATCTTATACCTTTGCTCCAGAGCCCAAGTTCGCGTCCAACCTCAGATGCACCTCTACAACTTTTATCACCTGCCTTTTCCTGGGCACGCGTGCCTTGGCTCTGATGAGTCCTCCTCCTCCGATTCCTCGTCCTCGTTCTGACCACAAAGTTCGCGCTCCACGGCTGGACAAACCCCAGAGCTCGACCGACATGGCGTCACTTGGGCGTCAACCCTGGCTCGAAGGAGAAACGGCCGGCAGCGAAGGTCTTATTCAGATTCACCTGCAGGGACTATCTTCCCCTGCCATGCCCTACCCTTGCATACTGCTGCTGAGCCCATTTGGACAAGTGTCGATGACCACATCTCAACACTGGCGTTTCTCTTTTTGAATACATACTCGTGCCATATCCCTATACCGTCCACCCATGTCCATCCAATGCATGTCCTTGGTCCGCGAACTTTTGAAGCGCGGATGGTGTGCGCATGTCATGCCATGTCGTGGTTTTGGGGATTTCAGGATTCTGTGTGTCCTGTGTCGTGTTACCTACAGTATATTGCCTATATTATCCCGTTGTTGCGTCACCTATATTACCTATATTACCTATATCATCCACTGTCGCGTGTCGTGTAGTCTATAGCGTTCGTGCATCATTCGTGTATGGTCTGTATGGTCTGTGTCGTCCACAGTACCTTATCTACATCCTCTGATCTACCGAGATATATCGCGTATCTATTTCGTGCACGGAGTATCATATGCTTGATCAATGACTAGCAGCCCCGATCATGACTCTCTATGATCCTGTGGACGGCCGAACGGCTGGATGGCTGAACGGACGTCTCCCTGCCAACCCAGCTCATCTCACGAATATATCCGATGTGGGCTCGCTTCGAAAAGTAGATCTACTGTACTCGAGCCTACTGACTCTACCTGACTCTACCTGACCCTACCTGACTCTACCTGACCCTACCTGACTCTACCTGACCCTACCTGACTCTACCTGACCCTACCTGACTCTACC